CTGTAGCGTGGCTTACTTGCTCGCAGGCAATGTAACTTTCTTCTCTGAGTTTCCAGAGTACAGTTCTTAGAGCTGCCTCCTGGTAGAGAAGTTTGTGAGGACCGGTCAGAAAAGATGATGATAACATCCGTGTATCATGGATGCATTCTCTCTTCCCTTTTAAGTTTATACTTAGGGATTTTGGTTTGAATCTCAATGTTTGTATTAAATGTGAAGCTGATGAATTTTTAGTTGGGACTGCTTTTCAGGACAAAACTATCAGGAGGTGAAGTTGACAGAGTAGCATTTGAGTGGACTATGCGTGGAGACGTGTCTAGAATTGTTGCGTTTCGGAGTTGTGGGATGATTGGTATTTATGCCTGTGGTGACTGAAGCCAACCTATGTAGTAGCTGTGGGCTGGTCACATCCAGTGTTGTGCATGGCTCTAAAGCATGGGGAGCTGCATTAAAATTTACTTCGTCTCTTTTTGGCGGTTGAACGTAAATGTAACCATGTTTACTGAGTGGTGTGTTAGGCAGGAATACTAGTTTCGTTTTTCTGGATAAACTTTGAGCGAGTCCTGAACAAGTCTGTCAGGGTCAGCCATGTGTGAATTTTATGTCTTCTGTCTTGTATTTATGCCCGTTATTGTTCAGAAGACCTATGCTCTACTAAAGGGAGGTGATGTGGACCAGTGATTATTTGAACTTGTATGGAAGTCTTTTGAAACGTTCACCTAAAAGTCTTATTGTCTCGCAGATTTCAGCGCCTCTTTCAGTCTTGCGTGTAGTTGGCAGCAGGGCTTGCATAAATGAGCTGTGATGGCTACTACTTTTGGCTGACCTCTCTCCCTTCACTCATGCTACACTACATAGCACATCTATGCTCATTTCTCTTTCTGGCTTCTCATTCTGACTCTGTGCCAGCTATGCAAAGCTGTCATCTTAGAGACACAGATCACGACTTTTCCCAGCTTAAACTTTGAAGAAGTGAATCAACTCGACTACACTGCTGGCTTTACTCTTCCCCAGACCTCAAAGGACATTGGTGTCCGACCATCATTTCACGAAGGCTAGCCTACTTCAGTAATGGCTGTTTGTATTTGCTGTAGATTCTTTGTGCATGGCAGAACTTTGTACATGTAGTGATGATGATTGCTCCCGACTCAGGTCGTCTGATGTGTCGTGATTTTTCAGCTGTGTTCTTTTTGAGTTTTTTGTATTTAGTTTGTCTTGCAAAAAAGGTTTTTTACATGATCCTTATGAATGTGTTGAGATTTTTAATTCAAGGTGTTGTAGCAAATACAAGCAAATGAGTTAAAAAACAAAAACAACCAAAAACACAAAATAAATGAGCATCCAGGTGCTGCCACTCATTCAAAAACTTGTGTTTGATGTTTGATTCCATATATATGTATCTGAGGTAGGCATCTTCTTTTGCCTTTTTAAAATATTTTTTTTAACAGATTCATTGATTCATTGGCATTATTTGGTGCATAATGTAATAATTTTTTTGTAAGTTAATGCTTGTTGAGGAAACTCTGAATCAGATTGAAAACAAGAAATGAAAATGACCTGTTCTCAGAAATGCTCCTGTCAAGGTTCGAACCTGCACCTTCTGCTCTACAGGCTTGCAGTTTTAACGGAGCTAGCAGTTTTGATACATTTGTTACTGTTGTCAGCTGGTGAGCTGTTATCACAGAAAAGTGGAAGAAATAAAGACAGTATCCCATCCATATACACACACACACACATACACACGTGCGTGCGCGCCAAACACAAGAAGTAAAAATATATATATTTTCCAAGTTCATGAGATTTTTAACTACGTAATAAGGAGAAATAATTCCTGTCAGCACTTTAGCCAAATGCATTCACGAAAAGTGTTTCAGTTCTCTTGCTGACACAGTAGCCCAATACTTGATGCATACCAGATAAGAATGAGGAAACTCCAAATTCCTGAAACGTGACTTCCCCAACAAATGTATCAAAACTGCTAAAAAAAAGAAATGCATGTCAAACTGGAAGAAAGGCCATTCACGAGCCCTTTTCAAATGCCTCTTTGAGCACAAGAAAAGCACATAGTGTGACAGAAACACCAATGAAATGATGATTTTATTATGGGCATTATGGGATAAGGCATGATAACACACCAATAGAACTATCTGAAAATTGACAAGAACCACGGATTCTCCACACTTCAAATTCAAAAAATGAAAACAAAACTAAGAGATGACAACCAGAGGCTTCCTTTTCCAAGATTTGGTTTATTCATGAATCACGGTTCAGTAATGTTCTAAACAATGTATAATATTTACAGTCACTGTCTCTGGTAAAATAGACAACGCCGGCCAGCATAACCCTTTTTCTGTGCCAAAACTAGGTGCAGGTTGACGAGAATACAAATCAGTGTCCCAAAGTACTTTCACCCATCTGACTTTTCTCATTTTTTGAGAAATAGAAGCACATTTACACAACGGTCATACAGTAATGATAAAAAGCAAGACAGGAGGACAGAAACCAAAAAGGGGCAGTAAAGAGGGCTTCTGGTAGTACTGGCGCCATACAACTGCCCACAGGATTTGAAAGGGCTGCAAAACATACCACACAGATGGAAAAATCCTACCCCAAAATTTGTCATACTCTTTGCTAATTATATCCACATATTTGTGAGGCAAGCTGACAAAATGAGTTATTTCTTGCAATTCGCAAATGACGATATCTTTTGACAATCCACACCTGGGTCAGCTTTGTAGATTTTCAATTGACACCATTTTCTTCGAATATAACATGTCTTTTATTCTTTCATACTTAAAAATTGTACAAACACCACCTATAAATTTAGCATATCTTTTTCCATGGACTAAATTCCAAGAAGAACAGTGTAAACCTGATATAACAGGGATGGTGGGACCAGAGAAAAAGTCCTGTTATATCAGATCCCTGGTAAATCAGAAATGCAAGGGAAGCAAGTATTTGTGGACTAATCCAGCTGTATTTATTCATGGGTAGTTTTCCTTGCCACAAGTACCCACGAACAGGGGTTTTGGCCATGTGGTGCATGTGCGTGCAACATGGCTTAGGGCTAGATCGAAGTCTGCAGCACACTGTAGCCCTCTCTTGCTTGGGCTTGCTCCATCACTGTGTCACTCTTTCTCCTTACTTTTTACACATAGTTAACGAGCCTTGGTCCCTGCTATAACCGATTGGGCTCCGATGAGGCCCTGTTATTGCTGATAACTTTTAACAGGGACAAAGAGTAGGAAAAAACAGGGATTTAAAAAATCCCTGTTATTACCAGGCCTGTTATATAAGGTTTCCATTGTAACTCATTTTGTCAGCACACGTCACATTTCATTCTCTAGAGCAGGGGTCACTAAACTTTTATTAAAGTTATTCAAATAACTAAAAGAATGTCTAGCACAGGCCGGAGAATTATTGAGTTCAGTACAATACTGGTACGGGGGCTCGCGTGGCATAGAGGTTAAGGTGTTGGCCTCTCATTCAAAGGTCCCGGGTTCGAATCCGGGTAGCGACCGAAAAATTTTCTTCCCTAAATTTGTCCCCTTGCCTTTCACCTCATTTCCAGCTCTCTAGCAATGTTCTGTCGTCTGCTTTCGTCTCCTCTTTCTGCCCCAACCCCCTCTCCTCCTTTGCCCCTTTCTCTGGGCTCCTGATTCTTTCTGCAGCGTTTCTACTGCTACTCCTTCGCTTCTTCTTACTGCTGTCTTTCAGCCACACCCCAAATCTTCTGGTCGGAAAGATCTACACCTAGCTTTCTCGGACAAGGGCGAAAAATCTCGGAGGTCCCGTGAGCAAGTGAGCATATCAATGATCCCTTGGTGGTCTAAAATCGATAAGAGTAGGCTTCGGCCGCCACTCGGGCAGAATTCAAAATTTCCTACCAACCGAAAAAGTTTAATGTGTCCCGCATGCTCATATGACCTTATGCAGTTGCGAGCGCCGTAAAACACTTTACAAAAGCAAAAAAAATACTGGTACACTCATGTGTTAAAAGTAAGATTTGTTACAGTAAGTGGAAGTTATGAAGTCTACAGATGAACTTTTATTTGCATGATGTGACCAAGTCCAGTGCACGCTACAAACATATCTTTCAGGTTTGTTCTTTTCACCCATGATGGCAAGCCAGATGGACTGACCCCAAGGGCTGCAGTTTGGTGACTTCTGCTCTAGAGCCATGAATAAGGCATCATCATAAGGAAGATTACAAAGGCCTGATTGTTACCTTTGCCAGTCATATATATGTATATATATATACAGAAACTTTCTTAATGTTTCAACAAACCAAAACATTCAGCAATACTATATCCTAAAAACGAGTTTCAGGAAAAATTCTTATTCCTAGTATTGAACAGTACAAAAAACACCTGCACAGAACAGACACTATTGTCTGCAAAAATGTAACAGAGCCTACCGCAGTACTCTCCTCTCATAGCAGCAATGTTGTATCTGCTACTGTTACAGCTATACTCAGGTTCTAGTAATCTCTCTCTCTCTCTCTCACATACACACACACAAACACACGCATGGATGCACGTATGCACATACACATTCTAAGCTGACTGCTGCAGCATAATGCAACACTAAGCAGATCTGTAACAGAGAAGTTCAAGGTTCAAATCAGGTTTGGACTATTTGTGTGTCGTCGTAATAAAATCAGGCGCTCGTCAAAATAATGAAATCAAAGAAATCGGCATTTTTTGGGGCTGATGGGCAATTTTTTTCTAATTTTCTTTTTTTTGGATCAACATCCTTTAAGTCCCTAACACATTTTTGTGAGGATTTTACTGAAAAACATTGACTAAAGGCATAAAAAATGTAAATTTTCAGTTTTCAAGTACTCTCAGGCTATGGAAGTTTCCAAACTTTAGCGACCATTTTCTTGCTAATTTTACCTCTGAAACCAGGTGACCCTGACCTCCTTCAATCGAAAATATTTTTACTTCTATTCAACACAGATAGATATTTTTTTTCACCAAAAGGAAGGCAAATCATAAGGCTTTATGATGATACCGATATCCCCATATGCCCAAAAATAGACGAGCGCCTGATTCCAAGTCATGACACATTTCTTTTGTCATCCTCTCTCCTAAAGTCTTTCTCTTGTCATAATATTTCCCTCTCCTGAGTCCTTTCAAAGGACAAGGTACTCCGCCCTCAAATTTTAAAATGGCTTTCATTGTGTCTTATAATAAGCCAATCACCAGTATACAAAACATCGACAAAGAGTGCTAGGCCAGAGTAGTCACCATTAGTTCTCTCTTAGTCTTATACAGGCTGATGAACCTGTAACAGAAAAATCACTTGAATAACAAAGAAGAGGTCCTAATCTTGTTTTTCCCCCCCCTTGTTTCCAGTGAAATATTCAGATATTGCATAAAAAACAAAAATAAAAAATGAATCAGCTATATCATAGTATGATATAAATAGCACTCTAAATTTCCCTCTGGGATAATAAAATATTATCTTATCTTATCTAAAAATACCCTCACAATGTGCTGCATGTTACCTCATATTCAAACCTGACAAAAGAAAAGAAATACTGCTGACAATGAGAAGTGTACAAATCAAGCTCAGTAAAGCACAAAGAGACATTAAAATTATCATAAAAGCACGACCACATACGAAAATATGACCAAGATGAGGACATCTAGAAATAATAATGAAAAAAAAAAAAAAATGAAATCATTATGAGCAAAATATCCTGTTTGTAATACGATGAGTAGAAGACATTTTCTCTGCTGCACTGTATGAGCCACTGGACAAAACTGTCTTTGTCCACCAGATGGAGAAAGAAGCAGACCCTATGATGCCGCAGGCACCACCAACAGAGCCTTCAGGTCCTCAAACGTCTGAAATGTCAACAACACAGTATATTGGTCAACCTCACGGCTTACAGTATGAGATTTTTTTCATGAAAAGACAACACTATATACTATTTTGAAAATTTCCCCAAAAATGGTATATAAGTGGAAGAACAAATATATATATATATGTGAGGCATCATGGTGAAATGAGGCCCTAGTTAAAATAATGAAATACAAGAAACAGGCATTTTTCTTCCCGTTCTGCAATTTTTAAAAGAATTTTTTGTTTTTGGCTCAACACCTTTTACGTCCATTTAAAAAACACTTTGCTTTGTGGATTTTCTTGAAAAAGTTGATTAAAGGTACAGAAAAAGTAAATTTGCAGGTTCCAATGACTCTAACTAGAGCTTTGGAAGTCACCAAAATTTGGTGGCCACTTTCTCTCAAATTTTAGCTCTGAAATAAGGCGATCCCCACCCCCCTTAATTACAAATCTCAACTTCTATTCAAGATAGATACATTGGTATTTTTTCCATCGAAAGATAAACAAAAGTAGTCATGACACATAAAGAAGATAAAAAACTAGGTCACAAATACACAACGACAAATCAAGCCGAAAGGACAAATCAAACTGAAGGACATAGCTCACTTGATACCTGCATTAGTAGCTAACCACTTAACACTTTTGGTTAAAATAACTCACAAAACCTGGGCCACTTTGGCTCAAAATCCCAGCATCCTCAGTGAAGAGAACATATTTAAGCAATGGTGTATCAATAAAATCTGGATTTTGTGGACAACTTGCCGCTTCTGTCGCACACCCAGGAACAGATGCAAGCAAAGACTACAGTATTAAACACCCTATCAGAGTCTGTTGGACTTAGGATCCACCCCGAAAAGTCAAAGGTCCTTAGGACAGATGCACAATGAAAGGAGCAGGTCACAATAGAAGGAAATGCACTAGAAGACGTTGAATCCTTCTGCTATCTTGGGAGTATAATTGACAGAGAGGGAGAAACAGGTACAGCTTTTTCATATCTTTGAACTGAATTTGGAAGACCAGAGATATCTCATTTCGAACAAAGCTGAGGATTTTCAATTCAAATGTAAAATCAGTCCTGTGGTATGGATGTGAGACATGGAACGCATGACAGACTTGCATAAAGAGGATTCAGGTTTTCTGGAACAAGTGTCTAAGAAAGTAACTGAGGATCAGATGAACAGACAGGTTCACCAACAAGGAAGGGTTAAGGAAAACAAGACAGAATCCCAGTCAGAGATGAGGTGGGAAGAAGGCGGTGGTGATGGATTGGATACACTCTCAGGAAGTCAGACAGCTTCATAACAAAGAAAGCGTTGGATTGGAATCCACAGGATAAAAGATCAGGGGGAAGACCGCGTGGAACCTGGAGAAGAATTACAGAAATTGAGGTACATAAAAGTGGGAAGACATGGAATAACATCAAGAGGCTAGCCCAGGATAGAGAAAAGTGGAAAGTGTTTGTGCATGGCCTATACCCTGGTGCAGGGTGAGAAAGGCAATGATGATGATGTATGAGTAAAAGAAAGCACATCTCCCTCTCACTGCTTATTCTAAAAGATCTCACGAGATCTGTTCTTTACATGACCCCTTCAGACATTTTCCTTTTAGTCTGCAATGCTTTCAATATATTTCGGGTAGATCTAAACCATATTTCTGTTCTCCTGAAAAGAACAGTTGGAACTTGTTCAAGACGACCATGCATTGTCGAGGAGAACAGTGGTCATCTTAAGACACATGGTCCTCCTCGGCAGGGCCATTATAGTGTAGGAAAAAAAAGCATTGGGGCAAGTGGGAAGTGGTTGTTTGTACAGGTCTTGGGCAGGTGGTCTTTAAAGCAGGTATGACTGCTCTGTGACCATGTGATGGATGTAAAATGCTCAGAGCTTATACTCGTATGGGATAGAGCGCTATATAAATGCAATCCACTATTATTTATTATTATTATTACTTTTATTAATATTACTATTATTATCATTGCTACATAAAAACACGTCACAAGTCTGGACAAAATAATGAGCAGCTCACCTGCAGAATCCACACTTGATTGTCCACACACTTCGCCAGGATCTGCTCTTCACCTAAGTCAGCATTGAGGCCCTTTTCTAGCTTCACCTGATCAGAAATACATAAAAATTGTATGAGTTCAGTTTGAATTAAAAAGAAGTCCGACAACAAACAACAATCACTTAGAGTTCCAGAGCGGGAATCAACAGTCGAACCACTGATAGGTACATAGTCTCAATCATATCTGCTCAGCTAAATACAAATTCCTTAATCTCAGTTAACTTTATAGTGTAGAACAAGGGACTGAACCCACACCACACCATAGTCACAGGTCACTGAACTTTGGCCCATCAGGCCTGCCTCCTTGCTACCATGAGGTAAAAAAAACTAATAACTTGGAAGATGTGTTCTGTAACATGCTCAAGACTTGGTTACCTTGAATCTCTGAGTGAAAATAAAACAAGCTTTTATAGACTTAATAACTTTTAGGTAATGTATCATACTCTTGCGTGGATTTAATGTGACCAATCTCTTATCTCACACATCAGCATATTGCATTGGAAAAAAAAAAGGTATCCTGCCTGGTCTTGGCATGCTGTAAATTATCCAGCCCACTTTCAAATAAGTTTTAGTGACCCCTGTCACAGACGAAACAACAGACACAAAAACAGACAGGACCCATCAGTTGCAACAAAGGAAGTTTTTTCAACTTGTGTGGGCTATAATATCCTTTATCATTCTGTTCATCTGATCCTTTTTCTATCATAGTTATTGCTGTCAGTCATAATCTACACAAAACTGATAGCCTTGGGAGGCTTAAGCTCTTCGCTGCCGCGCCTACTGTAAAATTTACGGGCTTGAACCGTGTAGCGCTGTGCCTATGACCTGTAGAATTTATGGGACTGTGACAGAGGTTGTTTTATATCAATTATAAGGGAAGTTACAGCTAAAATCTGGTAATTCTTATTGTTTATACAATCGAACCTGTGTAAGACGGCCACCCATTGTCAAGGAGAAAAATGGCCGGCCGTCTTAGGCAGGACTGATCAAGAAGAAGAAAACAAACCATTCCTTTTTGAGAAAACAAACCCTCCCTTTCTGAGGTCCCAACCGAAGGTAGTTGCATTGTTGTTGTTGTTTTCGCTGGGTTTTCTTTTCTTTTGTTGCTGCTTTTGTGCATGGGTGACAATAAAACGAAATGTGTCAAACAAGGAGGACCAAGTGCTATGGTAAAGCAAACACACATACTACATGTACCACTCGGAGAACAAGCAACGCTTCTGTCTCAAGTTCATGCTGACGTCCATTGCTACTTTGTTACAGACTGGGTAAACAGTGACCACTCATCTCACTTGCGATAATTTGTGTATGGATTCTGGGCGGGGTTTATGGGTTATGAGGGATCACACGTTTCCCTCCCCAGCAGCTGAAAATTAATTTTGTTACCTATTGGTCAACAGTGGGAGGGGCCTACGCAACATGATCAGTTGGAGGGACTACCTAACAACGACAGGTTTTTAAATTATGACGGCTCGTCCACAATGTCAGGGGCCAATGCTTGATTTATGACAAAGTGTAATGGAGTCACTAAGATGGCCGTCTAAGACAGGTGTTATTGCTTTGTGTGATAGGGGTTGTGTGTTGAAATATGGTGGCCGCGGCCGCGTTGGACAGGTGCCCGTTTTACACAGTTAAATTATATAGAAAAAACGCAAGGGGGAAATGGAAAGTGTCCGTTTGTACAGGTGGCCGTCTTATAGAGGTGGCCGTCAGGGCAGATTCGACTGTATTTACCTCCATTCCCCCCCCCCCCAATTTGAAAGCGTCAGATTCAGATTTTAGCTCAAAGAGAAGATTAGATCTAGATGTACACATCTACCGGACAAAAATGATTTACTGGCAGTAAACACAGATGGGCGTACATGTATACATAATATTATATATATGTGAATTGTACCAGCGTAGAATAAGGTAGGAAAAGCCTCTTGTCACTTCTTTACCTGCACACACTCACACAACATGTATCCCCCTTTTTTTGTATCAGTTTATCATTACTTGAATGTGTGTTGTTTATGTTGTTTGGAGGTGTCGTTTTTGGCACCCCGTTACTAACTCCAACTTTTCTCCATCTATCTCTCAATGAAATCTCCCAAAAATCATATAAATAAAAACGCGGTTCAATGTAGAATGTACGTGCAAAAATTCATGAGGGAAAAATTAATAAATAAAGAAGCTATGTGAGGCAGAGTGGGATCACTCCTAAGCAGCCTTGATTCATGGGATTTCCCCTGGCACAGGGGCCTATTTACCTTCGGCATTGAAGGGAATAAATTTCATTCAACTTTTTAAAAAATCCTTTCCTTTTCACAGGACGATGGAATGGAAATGCATTGGAGTAAATAGCAGTTCTATTTTCTTACAACCAGAAATCACAAAATACTAGCCTATGGTTCCATCCTGTTCTAGAGATAACAAGTCTAAAAAATCTGTTAAGACCAGTGGGCCACAATGGGCGAATCAGTGGTTATTTGTACTGGCTGATCCAGCAGTTAAATAATGAACAATACAGGAGCACCAAGTTTATAGTTTGCCTTAAGCATCAATAAGTTCTCTCCTTTACCCAACCCACACTCAATAAAACTATAAGGAAAGACATATTTTTCAAGCAAAATAGTCTGAGCCCTTTTGACAGGGAACCAAGTATTCTGCCTTCAAGCGACATGCATTATTTCTTAAAATGTTTGGTAGGTCATAACCGCATAAAATAACAATAAGAAGAGTGCGTACCAAATCCTGACAGCGCCTCAAAAGGTGGTATTTAAAGTGTATAAGGCCGTGATAGGAAGCCAGGTACCTCTCCATGGTGCTGCCGATGATGATTTCCTGTCACAGAAAAATCAAGAAGAAATATGTAAAAAGATGAGCCATTCCTGAAAATAGTGGCGACTTCAAGAAAAATAATTCAGTTCCTAGAAACATTAAAGGTTCCAGCATGATTTATCAACCTTTTCGGAGTAAATAAAGTAAAAATTGTTCACAACAAGACCTTGTATTCAGAACCTATGGCTGAAATCGCTTAATAATTAACTATGCCCGTTCAAAAACCTCATCCAATGGCGAGGCCTCACATCCATAGTTAACCCTGCCTTATATCAATTAAAAACTAGTCTGGTAAGAAAAAAACAAAACAATGCCTCTGCATCGTACAAAAACAATGACAGTATGCAACATTTTTAATTTCTTGAACATGTCAGTAATTTGTTTTGACCGCATCATCCAGTAGAATCATTCTTTTGTTTAAAACCCCACCCCAAAAAACAAGGTACACACTATTCGCACCAGTAAAACAAATCATTAATGCAAATCAGAAAGTAGACCTGCATGTGAGCCTCAACCAGATTGTCTGAAAATTTTGCGCAATCCCCCCCCCCCCCCAAAAAAAAAGCCTTTGTGGGTGTCATAAGGAAGGACATCCGAGTAACGAGCGACCACCCCAACAAACCAAACACAATAAAGAAGAGACCTAACCCTAACCCTACCCCAAAAAAGAACCTGCAACGGGCCTCCTGTAAAAAAGACAAAACAAGTCCTAAATGAAAAAAAAATCTTTTCAATAAAAAACCACACTCTAAAACAAACAAGGAACATATAGAATCTAGATCTAGATTCTAGATCTATATGGCTTACATCTACATTGCTATAGGGTTTGATACAATAACACAATAGAATTGGAATATGAATCCTCCATATAGATCTAGTAATCTAAATAAATCTAGATCTAGATCTAGATCTTGTAGGACAAGTGAATAGGAATAGGCCTTGAACTAGAAATCCGCATCCGATTCCGAACAGAGGGACTCAGCTGAGTCTAGATTCTAGATCTAGATCTAGATCTATATCTAGATCTAGATCTAAATAAATAAATAATTCACGCACCTGATGAAATGCTTATTTTTACCAATATTAATATTACAGCACAACCTATGATAGGGTTTGACACAATAGAAGTGGAATTTGAATCCTCCATTGAGGTCTATAATGATCTATATAAATTTAGATCTAGATCTAGATTCTATTAGAGAGAACAAGAGAGTCGGACTTGAATGAATCCACACGATCTGAACAATTGAATTAGTCAACAAACGAAATTCAAAAATGCACGAAACTGAAAGTAGATAATTTAAGTTGTCGTCCTTTTTCGTATTCGCATTTCTACTTAGGTTCCGACAATTATGTCGGAAACGCCGACGTCGGCAGTGCGCGCGTCGGCGGTCGGCACGAAAACGAAAGTGCTGACGAAGCCGACGGGAGAAAAAGGGGTCGCTGGCAGTCTGCCAGGCCTGGCACTACGCACATTGACTGATACAGGTGGGCCTAGTGATAGCATTGGCCGGTTCGCGGGTCGGGTCGCGATTGTCGGATTTCAGACGATTGTCGGCAAACATGCAGGTCTAAGAAAGGTGACTACGACTCTTAGCAATGAAAGTCTTTATTCCAACTGCTGCAATTTTCAAGGAATAAATCTCTCAAACCAAACAGAGTACCTGAGCAACTTCTACCCCTCTAGACTTGTCCTCCTCCATAAGGAATGGGTCGTAGCCGTAGCCAAACATCAGCACCGAGCGGACGCCTTTCTCCGTCACCTTGTCCACCGTGGCCTGGTCAGTCTGGGACCAGTTCTGACGTTTAATGCCCTTCATGTTGGGGCAGTTTTTCACTCTAGTCTGGGAACAAAAAAACAGTGCCAAAACAAAGATCATGAAGAAGGGCTCTGTCTTTTTCTAGTCAGTTAAACTTGCACAAACGGCCACCCGTTCAAGACATTCTCTAGTACAAATGAGAGAGGCAACTTTGCAAATATTTAAGTTGACTAGAGAGAAAACATTTCCAGCTAATAAGTTGAGCACAGAAATAAACAACTATTGGTGCTCACCATAAACTCCTCTTTCATCTTGACCAGACTTTCGATTCGCCGCACTGCTTGGGTGACCAGATTGTCCAGCCTAGCGATGGCATCCAAATAAGTGGAATCTGGAACATAATAATAATAGATAGCATTTGTATAGCACAAATCCCCGCTCAACAGCAAGCTCCAGAGATGCCAACCATAGAAAACCGAAATGAGTATTGCGAAATATGAAAATGTGTATTTTCAGGGGGAAATGTGTATTCCCCACGACCGACCAACCAGTAATAGTAAAATGTTCAGGGTGTCCAGCAATATTTCCTTAAAAAAAATTACTAGCTCACCAGCTCGAAAAAAGGAGCACACACGCGTACAATATACATGTATCCAGTCAACAACATGCCAGTGTTCAATGTCGTACTGGGGTCTTGTTTGACTTTAGAATTTCAGTCTATTATATAATATTTTCCTCTCATTATTATATAAAAAATAAATCCTGCTTTGAGAGTTCGGAAGGGCCTAGAACAAGAATTTCGACTATCAAGAACCAGTCTGGGTGTCATGATTTATATTATGAACTGACAGACTCAAATTATTGCTCAAACTCAGAGAAAAGCAATAACTTGAATGGCTCAATTAGACCCATGCACCGTGAGAGTTGTAACAATTGTGGTAGGGCAAGATTCAGTGACACTGAAAATCTGCCAGTCTTGAACAGAAAGCTACAACATACACTGTAGGTATAATTTACTATCACCCACCCAAGTAGGTATAATTTACTATCACCCATCCAATGAAACGCGAACACTTTATTCAATAACACAGACTTGCAAAGTATGAGGGGTCCCGATTCCGCACACGGCCTGCACCAACGCACGCTTTGCACAAAACTAATCAAAATTCTGTTGTCCTCTGGTGTTGCCTTAATCCCCCCCCCCCCCAACCCCGATAGTATCTTAAACCCCCAAAAAATCAATAATCTCCTCCTCTATGCCGCAGTCATATACTTCGCAACGTTGTTACTCCCACCAAAGACGGTCTTTGCTCACCCGATGCCATTATATATGATGCGAACGCGCGCAGGTTCAGTGACCGGTCACGATGGCGAGCCAGACAATCTAAAAATTGGACGACGCTTGTATTTTTTTTCTTTTTCCCACAAGTGACAGCACAGCGACGAGTCAGAGTATTTCTTACATTTCATTTGCACGGCGACATTGCGTTTATACTGCACAACCTGCATGCCACAAATGATGCGTTATCAGACAACTGCTGGCAAACTTCTCGGCGGTAACGAAAGCGAAAGTAGATCTTGATTTTCCCGATCGAGCCTCGGTGTCACATACGCTTCCGCCTGCCGCCATAGCTGCCTATTCGCGTGAAAGTGAAATGTACTCTCCGGACAGGGAAAAGCTGAACGAAACGATCGCGACCGGCAAAAATTAACTTACTGACCACATCGGACTTGGTTTTCAAATACTCCAGTTCTGCGATACTGATACTATTTTGACGAAAGATGGGACTTGAGATAATTAGGTTTACTCGCCCAAGATGAATCTTGTATTTTTCGCATTCCAGGATGCGTATTTTTTCATGAAAAGTAGTATACTAAAATACGTAAAATCGTACTGGTTGGCATCTCTGAAGCTCTATGCATTTCACAATCTATACTATTACCCCAGCAGACCTGAGAGCAGTCTGAAACAAACTCAACTTCCTGGGAAGCATACAGTGCAAGCAGCCATTTATAGGCGCTAAAACACTAACATACTGACAAGATCTTTCGTTGTCTATGGCCGGGTACCCATTTCCACCTGGGAGAAGTGAGGAAAATTCGTGTAAAGTGCCTTTCCCAAGGACACAACGTCGGGCCCGAGGCTCGAACCTCCGACCCCGCAACCTTACGATTACGAGTCCGGTAGCCTAACCACTAGGCAACCGACGCCACATAGAAACAAAAGTCATATATATCATCATCATCAAACGCACATCATCCAGCCACGATAGTCGCAAACTTCAATACTCCAAAGTACCCCATGCTTACACTTTAACAAGTAAAGAGAGTTTAACAGCACTTGCAACATAATTAGGTCACATAAGTGCCAAAGATTAGAGGTGTTACAAAAGAGTAACAAACACAAAAAAAAGGGGAAAAAAAGGAGAGATAAGGATGAGAGATGTTTGACAGGAAGAAAAGGAGCAAACCACACCAAAGCAACTGCAAATCACCCACAAAGGAACAGTTGACAAGGAAAGGGGTCCAAAAAGGACACCAAAAAAAAAGAAGTTAACTATGACCTACCACCATGGTCACGAATGTTGGTCAGAAACTTGGAGTCTAAAGCCTGCTGGAACATGGCCTTCACAAATAACTGGTACGAATCAAGAAGTTCCTCTCCAGCAAACTTGCTTTGCAGACTGAGGAGACAGGATCATAAAATGTATAGCACAGCACACCAATTTTAATAATTCATAGCAGCAATAAAGATTTCTATAGCTGCGTCTTCTGAGAATTAAGCACAAACTCTCTTACAGATTAGTGGTACTGCACAGTAAAGGCATGGACAAGGTCTACAAAAATAGACTCACAAAGGAAAAGAAGGAAAAAGGTAACAACACAAAATGTCGAGCCTTTCTTTCCCCATTAAGTTTATTGATTACATCACCCATATTAAAATTAAAACTACCAAAAACATCAAACATGCACACTACATGTTTCTGTGAATTAACATGGCTGCTATATATAACAAAAAACATCATAACTCATAACATAAGCATTTATACTTTACATCCTATTGCAATGTACTTCCTGTAAGGCAAATTTGGAGGCAGGGAAGGAAAGATGATGATAGTAAACAGTGTAAAAGAGGATAAAAATCTCAACCTCACTAACAACAACCTCCATCCCCAAAAAAACAACTAGTAATAGCAGTAACATTCTAAAAGTACTTTGAAAATAAAAAACGCCACAATAATGACAACAATAACACATACTAAGAACAACAACAGTATAATAAATGGATCTATGCTTGAAAAATAATCACAACAATATAACAAAAATACCTGCAAACCAGGATAGCAGCATACTAAATATAACTGCAGAATATTGACAAAAAACACTCAAAAATACATACAGCGTGAAGAACTGAGATCTGGATCATGAAGTAGCTGTTCAAATGGGGGGTAAGAAGAGGAAAGGTGACAGACAGACAAACACAACAAAAAAAATCTGATTTTGGCTGCATAAGCAGAACTATTAACGAGACCATACCTGTACAATATCAGACATATTTTGTCAGGAATCAAGTTCGACATTAGCGACAACTGAAAAGAAGTACAAAAAGCAGACTACACCAGAGCACCCAATAATCCTCCTCGGGTATAAAGACTTTGTATAACTGCCATTGAAACAGTAGTTCCAGTAAGGTCAGATAAGATTACACTTTATTGATCTCCACTGAGAGAAACGTGTCGGTGCAGGTAAATCTAATTGCACATGCCAACACACACACATAGAATAGAACAGAACAGAACTGAAAGAATAGTATAGAATGAAGTGTTGGAAAGAGCTGGAATTGAAGATATCAACACAACCATAAAAAGGAGAAGATGGAGATATCAAGGACATGTCCTAAAAATGCTGAAAACAAGATTGCCCTATCAGACATGGCATTGGAAACCAACTGGAAAAAGAAAACGAGGAAGACCAACAGGAAGCTATAGACGGACAAAAAGGGGTGAGGCAATCACTCAGGGCCTGGATTAGCCGAAATTGGAAGACGTGGCCAGGGACAAGCAAGCATGGCGTTGACTGCTCTCCGCCTTATGTACCTGAAGGTATAGGGAGAGAGTAAGTAAGAATAGAATAGAATAATTTTCAGTATGGTGTTCCTAGTAGCAAAAACTACAGAGAGCCAAAAGCCACACTGCGCCAGGAACAGAATTGGACCGCAGCAAGACTGAAAAGAATAGACAGAAGAAGACTACAGTGGACTTCACAACCCACAACAAAAATGAGAAAACAGGAATGTGCACAAAGTTAAACTCCTCATGTCTCACTTTTCTAAAGATGGCGGAGTAGGTTGGTAGTCTTTCTTCACCTTCACGGTGATCTCTCCATCAGCACTGGAGAGCTGCTGTACTTGAATTCTGTCGTACAAGTCCGACATTGATTGCGCCCATGAGGAGTACTGTGAGAGGAAGTAAGGGGTCAGGGGTCAGAAGGAGGTGCGGGGGGAGAGAAAGAGATTTGGTTCTGTCAAAACTATATATTTCAACTGTATTGGATGGACATAAAACTGATCATTCCAAAGACATAATAATAATAATAGGCCTAACAATAATAATAATAGATCTAATAATAATAATTAATAACTGCATTTATACAGCACATACTAATGCTCCGCAGCCTGCTGTGTGCTTTACAACCATAACATACATCTGTAACTGAAAAAAAAGGGGGACGAGGGGCTACGCCTTCCATCAATCTACAGATAAGGAGCTGGCCTTCTGTATCAAATTGTCATGATAGTTTGATTCCTGATTCATATAAGGGTATGGTGGGTGAACTACTGCACTCTTTCCTCGTGTTTTTCACAGCCTTGATCCTACGGCAGGAAAAACCAGATATATCGGGTTTTTAAAATAAAGACACCACCATGGAAAGCCGTGCGGACAAAAACTGAAATAATCCCAACCCAATACTTAGGACTTCCCCCCCCCCCCCTGGCAGTATACTCTTTAAAAAAACAACAACAATATATATTATATATTCCACAAATGAACTTTTATTATATCTTAACAAATGAGAAGGCAAACTAGAATGAGACAAATGAGATCTAGTAAAAGTAGGGCAACAAGAACACACTGAAAGGTAAACAAACAAATTTGGTATAAAAAAAAATAAGAATCATAAACCACAAGACGAAAAAAATCTGCTGCTGCATTCCCTTTTTCCGGAATTCAAGAAATTCACCTCAAAGGGGCTAGGGTAAAGTACAATACACTCACAGCATACTGCGACTTGTGCAGAACTTGGCCATCCAAAACAACCATCTCAAATTTACGAAGCATGTTTGGACCCTCCATGCGCCAGATTGGGTAGTTCTCCAAATGTCTCAGGTCAGCTTTCTCTATCATGAACTGACCAGTCTGTGGACAGAAATGAAACATCATCAATAATCTTTAGAACAGTTGACTTGGTTTTAGATTACTCAGGATTACTGACATAACAAATTCAAGAGTATGTCTGGAAGATATTTTTCATTTGATTTTCACGAATCGTTTTAAGTTTTACATTGTAGAGACAGTTGAGTAACCTAGTGGTCTGGCTACCAGACCTGTAATCATGAGATTGCAGGTTTGGGGTTCTGGGCTCTGCTTGGTCTGACATGGCGTTCTAGGGAAAGGCACTTAACATGAAATTTCCCACTTGGCTCTGTCCTATCAGCAATGGACATTTAATTCAGGGGAACCGTCCATATCAGTGTTACACAGGGCATTAAGCTTATACAATTTTTGTGTTTTACCCTTGCTGAAGACAGAACTGGACAGAACTTAGTTGAAACTTATATATCACTGATCCTCACAACAATGGTGCCAGTTTCACATACAGAAGAGAAATACAAATAAGTATATTATATCAACCCTCAGCGGGACAGCTTAGGCCAACATTCTGATCCACAGTTGTTGTTATCTACCCAGATCTGATACACAGACATGGTGCACCCTGGAGAGCTGCTAAATCTGCAATTTGGCAAAACACCACAGATTTGTGATATCAAAACAAGCGCACAGGACAGAATAAACAATTTTTTCTTTCAGGACGACGCCTCCTCCCCTCCTCCACCATAAAATGACAGTTTAAAAATAAAACTGAACAGAATGGGTTTTTTTAATGAGCGTGAGGTCTGAGAACATTACAGGTCTCTTACCCGGATTGGCCCACTGAGGTCATTGACAGAGGCATCGTTGGTTGCTGACATCTCCATTTCATCATCATCCATCCCGTCCTCTTTGTTCTCCAGCGACGCTCTCTTAGCCCCTCGTCCTCTCCCTCTGCCTCGACCCCTCCCTCGCCCTGAGGACTGACGAGGTTTCTTTTTCTGCTTGAACCACTGCTCTTCCTCAGAGTCCTCAGTGGGGTTAGCAGTATCGTCGTCGTCATCATCATCATTATCTTCTCCAGAATCGTTCTCATCGTCATCTTCATCCTCCGACACTTTTGCTTTAGCAGCAGAACCCCGGCCCCTTCCTCGACCCCTTCCTCTTCCTGTCCCCCTTCCTGGAGTCCCTCTTCCCCTTCCTCTGCCTCGGCCTCGCTTCGGGGGAGACACAGTTCCTACATCTGAAGCAATGTTCTTCAACCTGAGATACAAACAGTTTGAGGGGAAAAATTATTTGAGTGTCAATGTGACATTCTTAGCAGCAAAATCTACAGAAAGCCAAAAGCTACACTTCCCCAGGAAAAGAATAGGACCACAGCAAGACTGAAAAAGAAAGAATGGACAGAAGAAGACAACAGCGGAATTCACAACCCACAATAATGAGTGTGTATAACATTTAATACAGAACCATATTTGCACATATATGTACAAAGGTGTTAACAAGGAGAGCTTACTCAAGTGTCACCAGCCTTAATGCTGGCTGTGCTTTTTCCTATTTGTTGGTGTCAATTTCAACCCTATTCGAAAAAGAATACACCAGTTAGAAGGCAGTGCATGTCACCCTCTTACAGAACACAGATGGGGGAGGAAATTTTCGAGGAAGGATAGGAAAATGCAGCACAGAGTTAATTTTCCAAAATATGGGTGGGAGGAGGAATATTTCTTAATCTGAAGCTAATTGTTATCATTCACACCAATTAGAGGACAAAGCTCTCTTATAAAATCCGCAATGGACAAGCAGCCTGTCCAGAAGGTGATTACACATCATCTGTTTCATTTAATCATTTGAAAAGTTGACTATACGAGCTCAGGTTCTATCAGTCTCATAAGCCCAGAAGGAATCTAATCTGTCTATTATTTTCTTATCTAAAAAGATTTTATTTTTTAATTCAGAAAGTCAGTAACTCTTAAAAAGAAAAACTCAAAATTAAATATAAGAAAAATAAAAGAATCTTACACTATTCTTGGGGTTCTTGTTGAGTCTACCAAGTCGCTTGTGACATCTTTCTTTTTGGCCCTGAAATTTGAGAAAGAAATTTGTGCTCAATACCCGGTCCCCTTTAAATCTGTGCATAATACTTAAGACCAGCATTGCACACTCAGTGCAGCGAATTATCATGATTTTTAAAACCGTCATCACGATGCACAATACGGCTATGATATCAGACGACAGTTCACACACTGCCTATAGCTTTGATTTGGTGCACTGGTTGTTATTTTTTTCGGGGGGGGGGGTTAGTTAGTGGTTTACGGCATTCACAACTGCATAAGGTCATGTGAGCACGCGGGACACACCAAACATTTTCAGTTGGTGGGAAATTTTAATTTTTTCCGGGAGGCGGCTGAAGCCTACTCTTATCGATTTTAGGACCACCAAGACATCTTAAACGTGCCCAACTTGCACATGGGACCTCCGAGATTTTTCACCCTTGTCCGAGAAGGTTAGGAGTAGATCTTACCTACCATAAGATCAGGGGTGTGGCTGAAAGACAGCAGTAAGATTAAGCCAAGGAGAAGCAGTAGAAAGGCTGCAGAAAGAGTCAGGAGCCCAGAGGAGGGGGCAAAGGAGGTAAAGGGGTGGGGCAGAAAGTGGAGATTAAAGTAGATGACAGAACATTGTTAGAGAGCAAGAAAGGAAGAGAAAGGAGAACATTTTAGAGAAGACAATTTTCTGTCACTCTCCGGGTTCAAACCCTGGACCTATTGAATTGGAGGAAAACACCTAAACCTCAAGACCACAAGATAAAAATCATAACCGCTTGTTTAGCACACAATACTGAAACGGTGTTGTTGGAAACGTCTTTAACTTAGATATTATACTAAAGCATACAAAATCTTCTTTAACATCACCCCTGCATTTTACCTCTAGCTCTTTTTGATGAATTTTTAAAATCAACTCTGCCCCCCCCCTCCCCCCCAAAAAAAGAAAACTGTTTAAAGGACTCAAATCTTAGAAATTCACTTAACAGAATATAAGATAATAAGGGGATATTGAAGCAGACATAAACACTGAAGCATGGATAAAGATACTCATCAGTAGAGAGATTCAAGGTGTATTATGGCACTACCACCAGCATGGAAACAGCACTTCCTGCTTGTTCAACAGAATTGATATCATCAGTACTTCTCAAATAAGTTATAAAATTTAGGAAAATAACTAGCTTACTTTGCTCCTCTTCCTCTTACTCCAGGCGGCCTTCCTCTTTTTCTAGGAGGGGGCTGATGAATATTTTCGTCACTCTGGGGAAAACCAACAAGAATCAAGAATCATTCTCTTCTTCTCTTTGCATTCATCCAGACAGATCCTGCCCCCAATAGATCTCAGGGGAAGTTGACTCCTGGTTCTCCAACTTGCAGTGCAACTGACTGCACTTATAAGTATCATTCATATATGACAACAATTTAATTGATAACCTGACCAACGGACCAAAAAGCAAAATGAGGCCAACATCTAGACCACTTGCAGTCAATAACATTTAACGACGACCAATTAATCATATAAACTCAAATAATACCAGATCTTCGTAAGAAGGAAATAAGGATATATTTAAAGTCATTTAAATTGCTTTACTCTTAGAAATTAAGAAAAATGACTTCAATTGTCTATAGCTCGTTAACTAACAATAAAGTTTTAAAATTTAGTCCTATCATAGTTATGTAACAATTAATGTGTACACTACCTCATCAGTGTCAGACAACTCTGCCAAACTGGTCATTTTCACTTTCCTGGTGCGTCTTTTCCCACCGTCTTCCTCTGGTAACAAAAAAAAATAATGAGGCACCACCATCAACAGAAAAAAAAGGAAGCAAAGATTCTAGGGAAACAATTTTTACTACTATCCACCTGACAGTAGTTGTCTTGAACTACAGTGAACATTTCACTAAACGGACAAGGACAATAGTAAGAACAACAAAGATTTACACAACTTATAACAACCAATATGTGCAAGCTATTCACCCATTCGATACGTTCCCAAGACGCACAGGATAAACAAGTTATAGAAGACTCCCTACACAATGCACTGGGTTGATCTAGAAATAGATAAAGACTGAGACAATCTTTGACTTTAAGCAAATATATATCAAATAGATAAGCGCTACTGTACTACCTGACTTGACTGGAGTGTCTGTATTAAGCTCATCCCTTGTTTCCTCAAAGTTTGGCCCGTCTTCTGTCTTGACTTCTATTTTCACCTCAGCGTCTCCCTTTGCATTATCAGATGTTGTCTCAGACATCTCTGTACTCTGAGATAAAAAAACAACAAAACACTAATTAAAAGAATCAAATTATATCATTGGAGACATCAATCAAACCAATTATATAACACATATAACCTGATGAAATTGGACACTTTTTAGAAACTACAGTCCAGTCAAGAGAAAATATTGCCTCTCTTGAACCTGGAAGGAATTACATTATAATAAATCCTTTTTGCATACACATAATGAGCACCATTATCTGATTGTCACGTTGTATCTGGTGATGACGAGGAGCTGTTTGACCACCTCTAATAAGGGTGAATTTCACTCCCTCCCTCTGAATGTACAGCACTTTCCCCAGTCTTAAACAGTTGCTCCAGGTGAGCATTTAACAGCTGGAAATTTGTTTTAAAGTTATATTTCATTATAATATGCAGAATTTACCTGTTTCTAAAGTCCAGACATTTATGAAACTTTTCAACAATGAGGACGATGAAGATCATGATGACAACTGTAGTTTGCATCCAAACTTAAAAGTAAGCAGTAACTTATTTTCCCTAACAAAAACATATTTCTGAATTTCCCAGATTGACTCAAGTCATACGAGTCACAATTGATTCATGTCAAGGTTCTTTTTAAACAATACTGAGTTTACTTTACTACTGGAAGTCCTATATCATTTCTTACTAAAGACCTTTTTTGTCACGTAATATTACTTTTAAAATATTGTTAAAATTTGACTTTGACTTGAGACCTAGAACCTAAGATATGAACCTTGAGAAATTCCTTGAATTCCGGTATACAGGCCCATCAGGCACAATGGTTATGTAAATCATACAGGCAAGTAGAAGTCACTGAAGGTACAAAGGAACAAGTTATAGGCCTAGAGCAGGGCTACTCAACACTACATGAATATAAAACAGGCAGTTTATTATAAACAGGCAACTTGAAACAGTTCGGGCTAGGGGGTTACATTCCTTTGAGACACAGCCCTATTTTACTTTCACTCCCGTCTCATGCTCAGGTATTGTATAGTACTTTTCTTGATCATTCTCAGTTTGATTTCACAAGTTTCCACTTTATATTATATATACATTATTTTTATACATCCATAACAAATTACTAGATTTGGAATCTTTAGGTTTTTGTTGGAACTATATAGATATAATGTAAAATATACAGCCTAATTACATGGTATTTTATGCATTTGTTTAAATATGGGCCCCCCAATCTTAATAAATCAGGGGGATTTCAGGGTGGCATATATATGCCCTCCCCATGTTTCTCTATAATTGTAATCTGAGATTTTCTTGAAAACAATTGATTTGTGACAGTTTAAATGGCCATATTGTTGCTGTTGAAAGCAATCCACTGAAGTCAAAATTTTGAGAATTTTTCAATTTTTACATCCTCACCAAAAGTTCTTCAAAGAAGCACCTTTCAACATCCTCAAAAATACAGTTTACTGCTATGGTCAAGGCACAGTGTTCTTCCTTCTAATGTCTCATGATATCCTGATGGAAGAGGCAAACAGTACTAAATGACGGCTAAATGGCTAGGCTATAGGCTAAAACAGCACCTGGACATGGATGGCTGGTGCCTCTGTAAATAAATTATTGATGGTCAAGGTCATGGCTAGGCTAGTCGTACTCAATAATGATGGCTAGACTGACAAACAGCAAAAAACACTGATTGGTAAATACATTTTTAGTTTGCAATACACTTAAAGTATTTGTATTTGAGACGAAACCAGAGCATGTATTTTAAACCTGAATAATTACTAATGAGACCTGTGTACTCAACAGGTTTCGGCCAATAGGGCCTAACCTAAGTACGACCAAAAACTAGGAAGGGAAGAAGCGGCATAGAGGCCACTAAGTGTCTAAGGGATGGGCCGTCGGCTGAATTTGTCTGTGCGTTAAACTTAAACATGCTCAGTCAACCACAAGGCCTTCTGCTAGGCTGTGCCAAAAACTGCTGTGCTCTGTGTTACATGTATGTGTTTGTTTACATTTTTAGTTTTCATAGAACGATGGAACTTGATGCGATTAAAATCTGATTTAATTCATTTGATGAGATATTAGTATTGATGGTTTGTTTTAGTGGAATTTTGACTTTAGAATCTAGATAGATCTAGATAAATCATCTAGTCCTTTTCACTAAGCTTAACAATCTCATGAATTGGTTTCTCCTTTGACATTCGGTTTGATGATGAAACAGTGGAATCCTGTTATAACGAGAGCGAGGGGACCGGTACGAAATGTCTGTTATAGCAGGATTCTCGTTGTAAGAGATTCAGTAATAAATTCAAAGGAAATAATAAAGTAGGCCTAATCTATGAGTTTGGCGTTCTGTTTATTTCTTTTTGTTATCTCCTCCGATGATGGCTTTGTTCAACAGGACCTCTAGGTCTTACTTGATCAAAAATTGAATCAGGTTTCTTTCTCTAGCGTTAGCGATGTTGACAGCGCGGCGTTGGCTATCAGAACAAAAGTTCTCTAGGCTAACTCGCCCATTGTGTTTTCCCCCACCCCACCCCACCTCACCCCACCCTGTGGTGCGTTCCCGCGTCTGCTTGCGCAAGTCACACATTCGCTCCATGATCCATCACAGCACTGTGACCTCTCCATCCCCGCATCGGAGAAGTGAGAGGCATGATAGACTAGGCCTTGATAGTCTAGACTAGGCTAGCCTATCACTATCAGGCAATGCGGTCTGTTTCACAACGGTGTGTCTGCCCGTGCCACACACTCCCGGCCTTCATCGTTGGCACACATGGGCTCTCCCATTCTTTGTTTCGCTTGATAACCAACAAGTTTCTCAACTGGCAAGGTTTTCATGTTTCAATGGCCTATGCGCTGTGCACAGCAGCAGCAATATTCCGCTATAACCGACTCGCGCGTTTATGTGATTGCGCTATAGCAGTATTTTATTTACAAATATAAAGAAGGGAAAAAAACTGTGTTTTAGAATGATGTTTTTATAACAGACTTCTCGTTGTTTCAGGACTCATTATAAGTGGACTCCACTGTATTGTGTTTTTTCATCCGTGATTTATTCAGTCAGTGACATATTTATTTTTCATGGTCATGGAGAACTGTTTTGATTTGTTCAGCTAGTGACACTTTCATTCATAGTCACAGAGATGGAAACAGAGACATCAGTACCAGTGCCAAAGCCTAAGAGCAAGAGCCAAAGGCAAAGACAAAGACTTCATATGTGCAACATTGCTCAGGAATCAATTGTAAAAATAACAGATATATATAACAACCCTAATTTGTCTTTTTTTAGGTTCCCTACGGAAAGAGTCGACGTTGGGTCATCAACTGCCGTAATACTTGCATTTTAGGGGGACAGACCTTAGAGATATATATAAATAATATCTAGAATCTAGATCTACCTAGTACCTCAAAGTGCTTATTTATTCATTTATCTGTATTACATGTTTGTTTATCTTTGTTTTAACGAGCACGCTCAAGGTGTAGAATCTCTATACAGTGGAAACCTGATATAACAGGGATGGTGGGAGTAGACAAAATGTCCTGTTATATCCGATCCCTGTTAAATCAGAAATGCAAGGAAATTAAGCATTTGTGGACTAATCCAGCTGTACTTATTCATGGGTAGTTGCCCTTGCAACAAGTACCCACGAACAGGGGTTTTGGCACTAACTTTCTCCTTGCCTCCTCAAACCACATCAGAAGAGCTTGGTCCACAGCATCTGCATCGGGTAGTCTCATCTTCTTTCCACTGAGAGCAAACTTCCAATGGCAGTATGCTGCCACTATCTTCTCTCTATCTTTGATAATGGTGTGAATCGACCCTTGTGGAATGTCAAACTGACAACAAATCTCTGCCAATGGAGCTTGCTTTTTGTCAACAGCCTGGATTATTTTGGTTTTTTTTGTTGTCAATTGAAAGGCATTTTCTCTTGCGTTTGACATCGTTGGTGACACATTACGCGTCCGTGTTGCTAGGTATCTGGCTAGATCGACGTCTGCAGCACACCGCAGCCCTCTCTCGCTTCACAAGTTGCGTGTGCTTGCTGTGGCATGGCTTGCGTGGGCTTGCTCCATCACTGCGTTACTCTCTCTCTCTCTCTCTCACACACACTTTTTACACATTGTTAATGAGCCTTGGTCCCTGCTATAAGAGGTTGGGCTCCGATGAGGCCCTGTTAATGCCGATACCTTTTAATAGAGACAAAGAGTAGGAAAAAACGGGGATTTAAAAAATCCCTGTAATTACCGGATCCCTGTTATTACCGGGCCTATTATATATGGTTTCCACTGTATATTTCTATTTACAAAGTATTTGTTGATGTTTTTAAATTAATAAGATTAATATTTGGAGTAATTTTCTTTATTCAGAACACAACGTTTTATATTACTGTTGTATGTTGTACTGTATTGTAAAGCGCTCAGAGCCTGTGTACTTTCTTCGGGGTTGAGTGCTATATATTATAAATGTCATTTATTATTATTATTTAGGAATGGTAACAAGCACGTTGATCAGCTGATCGTGGATGCATAATTATAATAGGCAAATACTGAGTTCGCTGGCTGGCGTGCCTCGCGTAACGCGCAGACGACTTCGCCAACTGATTCGGCCCGCTGAAAAGGGAACAGAGATGCTATGCTTCGTCTTCTCTTCCTAATTTTTGGTACGGCTAAACTGACAGGCTAGCCGTACTGAATAATGTTGGCAGAATTGTAAATAAAATTTTGGTTCGCAATTACTAAAGGATTTGTATTATTTCAGACGAAACCAAAATGTGCCTTACACTTACTGACATGCATGTTATTTTAAACCTGAATGATTACTAGATCTAATGAGACCTGGGTACTCAACAAGTTTAGGTCAATAGGGCCTAAACTAAGTACAAGTCTAGCCGAGTACAGCTAGCCACTTCGGATCCTGAGAGAGAAGCAAAACAAAAACAAGCTTTTAGTCTCTGGGGTAAGTATGTACATGTATATATAGGGACTTAAGTGGGTTGCTTGCGACACAGACTAAATAAAATAAAATAGTGTCAATACTAAACTCTAGTATTATAATAATCTAGAATCTAGTAACAATAAAATATAGCCAATAAAATGAAACTTGGCCTGTTTTTCAGCCAAAAGAAAAAGCAGTGGTTTACTGGCCCCCAAAATAGGGGAGTGTCTCTACGCACATTGCTTGTAAGGTATCATACTTTGCTATGATGAACGCAATTCCGTGCCATAATGCCAAAGATTCTTTACCAAAATATTGCACTTGCTCTTTGGGCTTTTGTCCGCGCCGTGGCGGGCCCGCTTTGCCGCTTAGCACGTGATGGGCTATGTCACTATATTATACTAGGGGATGCGAGGTTGGTTTCATCATTGACTGCTTGGGGTGTGTTTGTATGTGTGCGTGTGGGAGTGTGTGTGTGTGTGTGTGGGTGTACAACTTTGGGGAGGAAATGAGGAGGTACAGATTTTTGGTACCAAAGACCAGGTATACCAAGATGTTTCAATAGCCCTATCTCGCATCCGTGCGAGACTTGGGCACTTCCTTGTGTTGGCGTGTGACGGCCCGTGATACAAGTGTAAACAAACGTTCCAGTGCTCTTGAGTTGAACGCGTGCCATTTTGATATTTTGTCTGCGGGCACAGAGAGAGAGAGAGAGAGAGAGAGAAAGAGAGAGAGAGAGAGAGAGAGAGAGAGAGAGAGAGAGAGAGAGAGAGAGAGGGAGGGAGGGAGGAGAGAGGGAGGGAGGGAAGGAGGGAGGGAGGGAGAGAGAGAGAGAGAGAGAGAGAGAGAGAGAGAGAGAGAGAGAGAGAGAGAGAGAGAGAGAGAGAGAGAGAGAGAGAGAGAGAGAGAGAGAGGTAGGTGTGTTTGTTATATAATAAGAATTATTGTTTCCTGTCATTTTCTATCTGCGTCGGTTTTCAGGCTAACCCGGTGCTATACAGTCATTATTGTACACATATATATGACCATAGTTCCATCTTCCAAATCCCACCTTCTGTTTCCCATCTCTCACCTCTTGTTTCCTATGTACCGAATCCAACTTTCCACATCCCATATCCCAACTTTAATTCTGTAAGTGTGCTTTGTTTTCTTTCATATCATGGGGTGGAACGCCTGAAGCAGGCCAAAATATTAAATAATTTTTATACATCACTGTCGCCAATGTCCAAATCAGATGTGCTGTTCAAGCACAAGTTTTCAACAACTTGATTTAAATTTAATACTGTTTTATTCAGAATCAAGGTTTGGTCTCCATGAGATTTCTTCGCTGTATCCTCTTCGGTGGCGAGTTTCTTTTTTACTTTCCCTAACTTACAATTCGCCCAGCATGACTACAGGGATCCATAATACTATTATGATGTCAATTTGGTCAAAGAATGGTTGTCAGAATCAAACTTTCATGTAAGAAATGTAACAATCTGACAAGACTAATATATCGAAAACGCTCCCTCTCGAGAGAGGCAGTGTGACTCTCTTTACACAGTACCAGTCGTCGTAATTTCAAGGACCCAGATGATGGGGAAACAAATAGCAGTTGTTTGATATCATTCATTAAGATGAGAAAGGACAGTTTGCTGCAAGACATGGTTTTATAAAAGATCGCAACATCAAGTCGTAAATAAATTGCAAAGCAAGACTGCATTGTGTCACCACAATACATTCACTTGTTAAGTTGGACAGAGAAATTTACTCTCATAGCACGTAATGTCATTATTTGTCTGGTAATTTTGTATGATGTCGACCAGAGATAACGAGCTAGACTAACTACGATACTATAACCATAGTTGCGATGTGAAAAGACTGGATGGCAAGCTGTCATGAGTTTAATTGGTGAACATCTTATTATATATTGATGCTTATAATCATGTTAACAATTTTCCTTGTAGATTTTTTAAAGTTTTCATTTCTTCCTTCTAATCCACCTACTCAACCCCAACCCTTTTTCCTATTTATTTCTTTTCGTACTTTTTGTTTTTATTTTGTGTCTTAATTTTTGTCTTTAATTAAACAATCTCAGCAATTCTCATTCCATAGATTTAGCCCGTACCATTCTGTACCTTCTCTTCTCCCCAAACAAAGTTGTACACACACACACACACACACAAACACATGCACGCACACACACCCCAAGCAGTAGGCGATGAAACCAACCTCGCGTCGCCTAATGACGCACCATGCGCTAAACGGCAAAGCGAGCTCGCAACGGCAGCAGACAAAAGCTCAAAAGAGGAAGTGCAATATCTCGGTATACACAGACTTTGATGGTACTGGTACAGGCTAAATTTATGGAAAGAGAATTGCTGAGATTGTTTAAAGTTAACAAAAATTAACACACACAAAAAAAAACGAAACAGAAAAAAAGGAAAAAGGGTTGGGGGGGACCTTATTTTTTCAACCCACTGTCAAATTTTCCTGCCTCAGGCGGCCAGGGGCGCAGTCTCGCATTGCCTTGATGATGCTTTTAAAATTCATAAATTTTGAACCGGCCCTTCACGCTGTGGGCAGGCCGTCATAATCCTTTCACCTGTTCTTATTCAGTGGTGGTGGGTGGACCAAGATTTGGGTGGGGCTTAGGTTTCTTCCACTTCTTTACCACCAAAAAGCAAGCAATAAGAACAAAACAGTGATGATTGTTCTATACTTACGGCGAGCCACGCATTTTGAGAACCATTCAAACGAGGAGAGTCACCTTTGTCTTCCATCTCTTTGTTCATAGTTAAATTTAAGCTCTTGTGGATGGTGGGGACGAAGCCGTTTCACCTCCAAATTTCTCTAATTAGTTTTTAATCTGAAGAAAAAGTTGCCTCAAAAGTGGTTTGATGTAATTAATAGCTGTTAAATCTCATCGGCACAAACACACAGCACTTCAAACACACACCGTCTATGAGGTGGATTGGGTCGTGTTGTTGCGGAAAATAGAACGCGCCTAACAAAGGCCCAATGGGCGCATTGGTATCTCTGTGTCACTGGGGGAAAGTGTGTCGTAAACTTTCACCCCATTGTCAGGGCTGGGAGAGCGTGAGCCCTCTGTGCAGTGTTATTTTTTAAAAGTCTTCTACCTTTTTACAAAAAGAGTTTCATTAAAGACGGGCGTGGGAGCCGGCTTATTCTTTCTGAGCCCTAACGACATTTGATTGGCTGTTAGGATAGAGTTGGGGTGGGGACGGGGTAGGGGTGAGGGGCTCAAGCCTGTAAGCCCTTCACTACCCACCGCCACTGTTCTTATTGTTAGTCCCTCAAAGAAATTTTTACCCAAGTTGACCAATGGGTAGGCCTAACAATACATTTTCAACAGCTGGTACTGGTGGGGAAAGCGTGATCCGTCACAACTTATATAAAAGCCCCACCCACAACTCATGCACAAATCGTGTGGGAGGAGACTGGTCACCAAATCTGTAACAAGTGTGACAGAGACTGCCATGCTCGAATTGGTCGAGCCACACCAGAAGATGTTCTGGAAAGGAGCGACGAACAGGCGCAGCCATTTTCTCCCGAGACAGAAGGAGCCGACGACGATGGCAGCCTAAAGTAAGTCTGAGAACAGCCCCAGTTTGGACCTCAGAGAAGAGTATGATTTGCTGGCGATTTTGTAGTTTCGTTCGTTAAAGTCAAGCAGGAGGGTTTCAGGGGGGCTTGCCCTCCTGACCTAAAAAAAATATGGAGGTGGGGGGTTCAGGGGGGCATGCCCCCCTGAATTTTATCCTAATTTGATGTTTTGCAGTTAGGTTGCATCCCTGCTCTTTGTGTAGCCTAATTCAAATAGTATTTGGTCTTCAAGACTTCTGGATTTCTTCTCTGAATGTAAACAAATGGATCGTGGACTTTAACGAACGGAACTACAAGATCACCGATTTGCTTTCTTCATTTTGACCAGTCCTGCCTGCCTAAGACAGCCACCGGTGTTATATATGCCACTTTTCTCCTTGACAATGGGTGACCATTGCACTCAATGCATGTGTAGGCCTCTACAGTACAGGGCAAAAATTTGAATTTCTGTGCATGCAAAATAGTTGCGAGCGTACCATACAGACTCCTAGAATCTAGAATCTAGATCTAGATCTTTAACTTAAAGTAGTGCACGGAGTAGACTGTTTATCCATCTAACCTCTTTTGTGCACAAAGAGTGACAAAGGTAAATCTAGAATCTTAATAAATCTTGGTACTAGATCTAGATCTTGACTCTAGACCTACAATCTAATAATGAAAAAGCTGGCAAATGCAATCCCCTGACTTTCTTTACCTGGCTTATGGGATGGCCCGGTGCACCTGTTGTGGAAACTTGAGCTGTGATTGTTTCCTGATGTATTGGTGCCGCGATGCCTGCCATATTTTATTTGCAATTTGATGGGAGCTATAAGGCATCGATACTGGGAAACCGTTAAATAACCAAGTAGCATCTCGAACGCAATCTTTGATAATCTTTGGCGTGGAAAACATATCTTGATAAGCTAATGCCTATGACAAATTATAGTTAAAATCTAGTAAACTTATTCGCCAATTAGCCCAGGACAGCTGATATCAATAACAAAGATAGTACATTATGACATTGTAGACTCTTTGTCAATACACACAATCAGTATCGAATTTGGCAAGGCTAGAGTCAAGGCCATAGACTACTATAAAATCTAATAATATCCTAGATTACATGTTTTGACGTATGTCCGGTTCCCACTTGACCTCTCATTAGCATAATTAACTTTTATTTAATGACGTTGAAGGGCAAAGGGAGGGGAGGGGGTGTTGTTTATGCCCAACAATAACCAATTAAGTTTTTTTCCTCCATTAATGTGAAATGGTGTGGCCCTTGGTGCAAACTGTGCAGTTGTTTATTCGGAAAAAAATCACAACCGGCGGCCATGATAGTGTACTTTCTAAAAGTACATGTCTATGATATTAGTCTTCTGTGGTGGTGTAGGCCCCCAGGATGATAGTACATTAAGAAAACAAAAATGTAGATCTAGATTTGAATGTTTCTCTCTATCAGTAAAGATAATTCTGAACAATATTTCATATAAAAATGTTACATTAGACATGGGTTAAACAAGAAGTGGTGCATCTTTTATAATAAATTTGTGAATAAGTTCAGTAAATAGAATACTTATTCGCCAATGTAGGGAAATAAGGCTTTCACCGAAATTCCGAAATAGATTAGATCGATACATGTTCAAGATGGCGGCTCATGGAAACTAAGGACGCGAACCGCTGTATGTTTGGAGGAATGTGCATGTGGAATATTAAAAAAATGTGCAGACATTAGGTTAGGGATACATGAAGTGTTACTTTTATTGTGCTACTATCCAGAGTACCTTCTGCCATCAGAGGAAAAAACAAACAAGGTTGAGTAGACCTAGAAATCTGATATCTAAATGAGTCCTGCCTGGGTCAACATATTATCTTACTAGATCTAGATCTAGATCTAGATCTAACTTCGTAACTTGTCTCTAGAGTAAGAGACTTGACTACTACTTAGTCTAGAATCTATAGGTCTACTTAACACATGAAGCTGTCGATCACCTAGCACACCTCTGTGATTGGCCCAAATATAGATAATGTATTTCCGCCATCTATTTTTGTCGACTTCCACAGCTTCCCCCAAGTCATTGGCCCAAGACTCTTGTTTCTCTCACCAGTAACTGACTAGATCTAGAATTCTAGATCTAAATCTAGATCTAGATATCTAGATCTCACCGTGTTTGTTATTTTTGGTATTAATTTATGTTATCTTTTATTTAAACAATCTCAGAAATTCTCGTTCCATAAATTTACCTTCTCCTCAAAGTTGCACTCACACATGCACACAAGTGCGTGCGCATACACACACACACACACACACACACACACACACAAACACACACGCTTGCGCGCACACACACACAACTGCACGCACACTCTGATGCACACACGCACACACACACGCGCGAGTGCACACAGCCCATGCAGTCTGCAATGAAACCTATTATATCTAGTGACGTAGCCCATCACACAAACTGGCCTGGGAAGCCCCGGAACGACGAAAATAGATGGTAGGAATACGTCATGATATATTTTGGCCAATCACAGAGGTGTGGTAGGTGCTCGCCGCTGCTTCATGTATACATGACTAGAGTCTAGATGTCTTATGGCTGCCTTTATTCTCCCATCATGGTGGGAATTTAAAGTGTAATGAGATGACAAGGGCTAGATCTAATCCTAGATTTAGATTCTACTCGTTATCTATGGTTGTGTGCAATACTTATAGTTTCGAGCGGGAATGATGTGTGTGGGACTTAAAGGTTTTGGAGCTGCATCCACTGCGTCGACCCACCTGAAGTTGCGGCAATCCCTGCTCAGCCTAAGTCGCGGCTCGGAAGGCCAGTTCGAATTCTGCGTCTCTTTTTATACCCCATGCGCCTTTTACTCACTACCCTGAGTTCCTACACTCATTTCACGTACTTGTGGCTTGCCAGGTAATCGCAGTGAATTAGACCACAGGCCCCTTCGTCTCATTGATCAATACAATGAAAACCAACTCCCCACTTAAAGAGCATCATCTTCAGTTTCTGCGGTTTCCCCCCGCCCCCTTACCCCTGATAGGTCTAAGGTCTGAGACATGCCACGACATATGATCAACCTCTACGTTGTTCGCGGAGTTCACCTTCGTGACAACCCCGAGGCCCGACTCTGATGTGCATTTCGCATTATCCGGCTTGACCCAGACTTCCTTGCCAACACTAAACGAGGCCGTTGGGACTGAGTTTCCACACTCTGGTTTTAAGGGTGCCTCATCAGGCTGCCTCCACTCATATGTCATAACTGACTTGTGCAGAATCGAGTTTTTGTGCTGCTGACTCCTGGGAGAGCAATCGTAGTAATACACAGCTACCAATGGTGAGATGTTCCCCCTCTCTGCCATAGCTTTCATAGTTCGATGATTTTGCTCGACTATCCCGTTTCCGCTAGGCCTATACGCTGCCCTGAACATGGCGTTCGTGTTTCAGTCCTGCAGGAACCCTTCAAATTGCTCTGACCTAAATGCTGTGGCATTATCGATCAGAACCTACTGGCCCCTTTTCGTGAAACACTTGCCTCAACGTGTCAATGATGTGTTGAGCAGTTTCACCTTTCAACCGTCGCCAAATCACAAATTGACTAGGTCCACAATCCAACATGGTCAGGAATGAGACACCACAGTAGTGTGTAATGTCAATCGCTAGCCGCTCCCAGGTCCCGCAAACCCCCAATTCCCCGACATCGTAGACTCCAGAAGCAGGGTCTATACTACTACACCTCTCGCTGTTCTGGACCACCCACTTCACCTTCTCCTTGGTGATCTGCGGATCCACCTTTGCCAGGTACCATGATCTCTCGACGCCCATGTGGTGCTTATCGTGCAGTTGCTTAACTGTGGCCGACCCTGAGAAACATGCTACCGAACCGTTGCACTCGCTGCAAGTCCTCGTCCATGACCTGGGGACTCTGGTCAATTTATCAGCCTTGTTGTCCCTCGAAGCCACAAGCCTGACGTCCATTGCAAGTCCTAGCTCCTCGACCAAGGCCTTCAGTGTCGTCAACCTCTGTTTGATCAAGATCTCTGCTGCACTGCTCGTCTTGATCCTCCTTTCCTCTGACAGCATCACCTTGATCAATCTGCGTACGGTGGCCGAGTCTGTCAGAACCACCATCCTCTGCAGTCTTCACTTGACCCCCAAATTAATCCCCTTTAGCACTGCCTCTAGCTCGGCCACGTTAATGTGATGAAAATCCCCACTTTTGCGCATCGAAGCCCCATCCTCCACCTGCACGTCGCCAATTTCTACCATCACTCCCATCGCGATTTCGCTTGCATCGCACCATACAACACCCTGTTTGGATCGGCCCACTTTCCACTTTCCTCCCACTGGGTCATGCTGTGCCGCTTGCTTCACAATGTCCTCCATCACTGACTGCGCCCTGTCCCCAACATAGTCGTCCCAACTGGTTCCCTTGACCTGACGCTTCTCAAAGCTGGAAGCCAGGCGCACCCATCTGGTTAAGGGGTAGTGCCCCACCAACTTCCCCCAAATTGAAAACGGTTCCCGTTTACTCAGCTTTCTGTCCACCTTTGGTACCTCTGCGTTCCGCCAGAACACCAGTGACCCGTTCTCGTCCCTCATCAACTTCAACCGGAGTGCCGACCCACCCTCCAACTGTGCTGCGGGTTTAGCTTCCAGCCCATATGACTTCAAGTGTGAAATCACATTCTCGGTGTTCACCATGGACACGTCCACCAGTATATGGTCGATATACCTGCTTGTGTCCTTTTGGATCTCCTGGGACTATCTAAGCACTGTCTTCAGCACCTTTGTCATGATACAAGGTGCAGAGTTATATCCGAACCCCAACCTCGTCAAACAGTAGGTTCGGCCCTTGAATCACACCAGCTGAAATCTCCAAAGCTCTCGCCTCTCCCGAATTTGTAGGTAGGCTGCCTTCAAATTCACTATTTGAGTCTCCCCACAAACCCTTCTCCTCTCACGGAGAGTGTCCACGCAGACATCGATTAGCTCGTCCCCCCTGTAGCATTCTACCAGTTTGTTGAGTCTAACACTGGCCTGACCTTTTTCTTCGTGGACTGTTTCACCACCAAAAGTGTGATAACTCCCCCTGCATCTTCTTCCCAAGGAACGAGGGTCCCCTCCTTTTTCCACTGCTCAACTTCTTTCTCAAATTTTTCCTGTTTTGCACAATCTAAGCCCCTGTCATAGAGTGCGACTCTATTTTTCAAGTTCGGTGTCCCCTGGCCTGCCCCTTTAAAAAAATACCTGACCGTCCATACTTCACCATCAAACTTTGCATCGAAATCATTATCACGAATAACCAATTCTTCCCTTTGACAGGTTTGTTCCCCTGCTGGCACCCCTACAACCAAACACGCCACCCGTTTTCCAAACTGGATCTTGTGTTGCCCCACCGTCACCCCTCCTAGCTGTCCGATTACATCCATGCCAATCAGCACAATATGCCCTTCCCCAACTCACCTGTAGCACACGAATGACTTTTTCTTGCTTAACTTCTCTGGGCACTCTCTAACAAAATGACCGCGCTCACAAATGAAACACTTCACCTGACTGTTCTTGTACTGCATCATTCCCCCCCCCCCAGATATTTTGTTTCCCCTTGCCTGATCTACCGCTGCGGCTGCAAGCCCCCCACCCACTACTGCGCCCTTGGTTGTCGCAAAACGCTTCCTTCAAGTTCTTCTTGATGAGCTTTATGCTCCCGTTTTCTTCTTCGCTCATCTCTAGATACACAGCTAGTGCTCCCCCCTCCAAGTACTATGGGATAAAACTGGCCACGTCTTCAATGTGGGTCAGTTTTGCCACCAACTCTACCTTCTGCAACCAAGCCTCGACGTCACCCTCCCTAGCAAACGGTTTGAGCACATCATACTTGATACTTGGGCCTATGGCCATTTTTAACCTTCTAGCCATCACCGCAAAACCCCTAGATCTGGATTACTACAACTAGATCTAAATCTAGGCCTAGATTCTAGGTCTAGCTTAGCCTAAGGTCTTAACGATCACGATCCCGCCTGGCCCCCACGCCACACGTCAAATGAGTGCCGAAATAGCTTGTAATGAGATGACAAGGGCTAGATCTAATCCTTGATCTAGATTCTACTCGTTATCTATGGTTGTATGCTATACTTAAAGTTTCAAGCGGGAACGATTTGTGTGGGTCTTACAGGTTTTGGAGCTCCATCCACTGCATCGACCCACCTGATGAAGTCGCGTCGATCCCTGCTCAGGCTAAGTCGCGGCTTGGTAGGGCGGTTCAAATTTTGCGTCTCTTTTTGTACCCCCCGTCCGCCTTTTACTCATTACCCTAAGTTCCTACGCTCATTTCACATGCTTGTGGCTTGCCAGGTAATCGCAACAAATTAGACCACAGTTTTCAACGATGGAGTTTATTGAATCTATCAGCAATGTTCACAATTCTGAAACAGATAAGACGAATGAGCATTGCAATGTATAGTCATCTCGTCCAGGATTACTATAATAAGTCTTACAATGACATACCTCCTACACCTATCTGATCACGGCCCTATATAATCCTATGATAATATCGGAGTGTCTATGTACACGGTAACCGGGCACGTTGTCTCAGAGTCTACGTACACGGTAACTGGAAAGTCCACCCTCGTTCTTCACAGAAGTATCGTGTTGTGGGAACTCCAACATTCTCCGATGTGTGCATTATGTAAGGCCACGTTGTTTGACAATAGCCATTTCAGCTGCCTTTTTTTCTCTATCCAAGTTCGTAGTCAATTACCTTGTACACATAGATACTCCCTTATAATATAACTCGATAATGACCACGTCCAATTAAAGTACAAATATAGTGAATTACTTCAATTTCAATTTGCTCCACAGGAATGTGAAGAATCTATGAGTAGCTATTTGTCTTGTTTTATACAGAACCACATGTAATCTTAACAGTTTTTATGGATGGGCATGTCAGATTTTTTTTTTCTCACTTTTTCGGTAGTTCCCCCCCGCCCCCCTCCTTATTTGGACCTAGATTAGACCTAGATCTATAATTATAATGTTTGATGTGCGGCGAGCGAGAGATATCAAACCTTACTGCAAAACATCAAATTATGGTAAAATTCAGGGGGGTATGCCCCCCTGAAACTCCCCCCTTCCCCTATTTTTAAGTAAGTCAGGGGGGCAATGGGGGGTATGGGAACTACCGAAACAGCGCCAGAATTTTATTAGAAATGCCTGATGCCGACAGTGATTTGAATGAATTTTGAATACAATATCATGTCATGTCATGATATGACACTTAAAATTGTACTTGAAATCTATTATTTTTATCGAAGTGGCTAGCATACTTAGATCTTGGTTAGGCCGTATTGACCGAAACCTAGTGAGTACACAGGTTTCATTAGATCTAGTAATTATTCAGGTTTAAAATACATGCATGTCAGCAACCTTTTGGTTTCGTCTGAAATCCAAATACTTACTTTAGGTAGGCCTTCTATTGCAAACTAAAATTTTATTTACAATTCAGACATCATTATTAAGTACGGCTAGCCTGCCAGTCTAGCCAACTTATTTTAGGCCCTATTTAGAAACCTGTTGAGGGCACAGGTCTCATTAGTAATTATTCAAGTTTAAAATATATGATGCACTGTCAGTAAGGCACCTCTTGGTTTTGTCCGAAATACAAATACTTAAGGTATTGCTAACTAAAAATTTATTTACAATTCAATAAGCCTATTTTTTGCTGTTTGTCAATCTATCCATCTTTATTAAGTACGGCTAGCCCAGCCGTCTAGCCGTCATTAAGTACGGCTAGCCTGCCAGTCTAGCCGTACTTAAGTATTATTTTATTAGCAATGCATGCATCATGTAGATCTAGTCGTGGTTGCTTATTAATTATCGACTATAGACAGATCATACATTTGACCCACATACCCTATGTGTATTAGTGTGTTTATTACCAAAAGATTTTCAGATAATATTTTAAAATTATGTGTGCTGGAGGTAAAATATATATATACCTCTGCATGGCCCGAATTTTATTGATCTCCTTGTTTTTGAAGTTTGTCTTGAAAGATGTTTGGTGTCAAAACAATATAATATTGATTAATTACTGTTATATTGTGCATCAGTTCCAGGGTGATCCCCCAAAAAACTGTACAACTTTTTTTCTGAATATCTTGCACAAAATTTGTACGAGAATGTTGTAATTTAGAGCAGATATAATTCATTCAAATGTAGTTTGACATAAAATTCAGAGGAACTTGTTTTCGAATATGGAAAAGGCTTTCTTGAAAACCACCTATAAACGCTAAATGTATACTATTTAAAAGGTCTAGTAATTTAAGGAGAGTCATGAAATGATAGGTTTGTTTTTTTCCCTTCTTTTCTTTTTGAAATATGATCTTTCCTTCCCTGTAACATTTAAACAATAAATATTTTTCTCTTACAGAGTTGTAGAATAAAAAAAAAAATTCTGGAGTTCCGAGAACTGCCAAATTTTACATGCGTCATTCTTAATGTTCAGAGGTGGCCAAATACAAAGATCTACCCAACCATGAGTACTCAAAGCTGCACACACTGTACACCTTGGAGTTGCTTCTGGAGACAGTAGGGTGGTGGGTAAGGTTTCCCAAATAGGCGTTTGTGCAGTTAAAATCCTGAAATGTGAATATGGGCTTTGCCAAGGAATCAAATGTCATGGAGGAATGTTCACACTTTTCAAGGCGATCGAGGAATCATGGACACATAGCTCTCCTCTGATTCAAATCAGCTTTGCAAACAGGAAAATGGTACCGTTGTTGAGATGTCAGAAAGTCTTTCACTTTCGGACAGATGTCTCATGGGGCTGATCTTCCGAATTCTGCACCCTGGTAATGTTTAAAGGGGTATGAATGGTGTGTTTGATTTGAAATGTTCGTTTTGTCAGGGAATTTTTTGTTCTGGTTCTCTACAGTTCCTAACTGATGGACCATTTCCACACTTTTGACATCAAAGAAGGCATTAAGGGCACTGTTTTAACATTGTTTCCGTACCCTGTGTGAAACTTATGAAATGAGTTGGCGTTGAGGAAACATTCAATATTATATAAAAAACTCTCTGCTTGTTCCTAATCTTAACCATGATCGCGGCAGGCAAAGGAGATTGAGAAAAACTATCTGCAAACTTCTGTAGGCCTGTTAGACTACTGTAGCTTGCAATATGGCACGATCGTTGGGACCTTTAATGGTAGGCCAAAGGCGAACTAGTGCGTCATGCTGCAAAAATGGGGACATAGCTGAAAATGGGTTGGGTTTTTTTTTACGTGTTATGTAGAGCAAAACTATCTGTGGAATTATCCAAAAAAACATGAACAGGCCCTATCAGACAAATTCCTTTTGACTTCCATTATGTTGTGTACAAAATTGAAACGCAAAACTTCAGTGTGGAAGACAACATTTCAAAAAAAAGTTGTATAGTTGTTGTGTTTTTATCACCCCCGTATTTAATTAAATTGATAAAATCTCACACTTTTAAAAAGAAAAGCCAATCACAATGACTGCATTAGCGCCAGATTTTTACTCTTTTGAAAAATAACAACATATTAATACAGGACTCAACGGCTCACAATATGTTAAAAGTATAAATCTAACAAACCTGTTCGCACAATTTTGTAAATTTTATGTGAGACGCACCCACCATGGTTTCCTATTGATTTGAGGTGAAAATGAAAAGGAATATCTGTTCTGTAATTGCTCATCCTTTCCTTCATTCCCTGTCTACATCATTTCATTCCATATTTAATGTAACAGTTAATGCATTTCTCCCTATGACAAATATTTTTTGTTTCTCATGTCAAATAAATTTATGAAGTTTTCATTTCTTTTTACAGGATAATCATCGTTTATTATGTTTTAACACACATTGAATCAATATGTCGAGGATAAAGTTTGCCACTGATTTTGACAAGTCAGTACTACTGAACAATTTCGAGAATCGTGGTTGGATTCAAGTTGGTGCTGAGGATGATTGGAATTTTTACTGGTAATTCTTTGCTGATAGTGAGAATATTTGTTTTGTGCCAGTCAGATATTTTGTATTTTGAGACACACATTGCTATTTTAAGACTAGAGTTCCCTATTGACCAAGCCTGCTGTAAACTTGATTCAATCCTCGGATCAGGACACGGTCTAATTGTTTATTTTCTATTTTATAGACCAAGTTAAGCATTGCTGCAAAATACTGTAACTGTTTGCAAATTAAGCCGTACAGCAGCATCCACATGCACACATTTACTCACATACACCCTGTCTGTCTGTCTGTCTGTCTGTCTGTCTGTCTGTCTGTCTGTCTGTCTGTCTGTCTGTCTGTCTGTCTGTCTGTCTGTCTCTCTCTCTCTCTCTCCCCCCCTCTCTCTCCTTCCTCTCTCTTACTCTCTCTATCTTTCTCTCTCTCTCTCTCTCTCTCTCTCTCTCTCTCTCTCTTTCTCTCTTGCATACACTCACACACACACACACACGCACACACACACACACACACACACACACACACACACACACACACACACACACACACACACACACACACACACACACACACTCACAAACTTTAGCATTTTAAGTTTATTCTGAACTGAATTTGTTTCGTCCAACCCCCCCCCCCCCCTCCTCCTCCTCCCCTATGTATGTTCTTTACCATTAAATGATTTTATTCAATAGCTTTGAGTGTATCTTATCCTCAGGGCTGGGGTCCATAACATAAGGAATGTCTTTAGTGTTGACTCTGGCTTCAGACTGCAAGATGACCAGTGAGTACACTGGTTGTTTCATTTATATGGAAAGCTTTTATCTAATATTTTGTGCATATTGTAACCTTTATGGCACCACCTTTTTCTAAAAGAGAAGTTCTTTTTGTTTTTTAGAGCATCGATTTGTTGTTTATGAAGGACTAAGAAGAAATTGTCAGGACAAAAAAAAAAAGATAAGTAAGTATTGTAATGTGTTGTATAATTGTCTATTTTATGTCATGAAAAGCTTCATGGACTAAACTTTTGGTTTTCATACATTTTTTCTAGTTCATAATTTTGTTTTAAATTTAAAGAACAAAACAGTTGTTTTTTTTGTACAGAAAGATTGAAAATAATTACTTTACTTATTGTTTTGCTGCAGAGTGATCAACCATTTCCCAAACCATGTTGAGTTAACCCGCAAAGACTTGATGGTAAAGAACATCAAACGTTATCGCAAAGACCTCGAGAAGGAAGGGAATCCCCTGGCTGAGAAAGATGAATCAGGACGCTTTGCTCACCTTGGTATTTATTAATGTTGATGCTTTTCTTTTTAAGCTCGAAATTCTATAAGATTTAGAAATACATGTAGATGTGCTCTTTGCTTTTGCTCATCTTTTACAAATTTTGAGAAATGAAAATGAAAAGTCATGTACACTCCTAATAATTTCCCCTATATCAGGGCATGTTATAGATTTCCATTTCGACAAATTTTTTTTTGCAGCTGTATTAATTTTTGTTTGTTTAATCCAGTTTCTAATGTTTTTGATAAGGTTGCTTCACATTCTCTATGTTAATGAAAAATGTAGATATACTTGTTCGATTTGAGGACATTAACCCAAAATTTTCTAGAGCTGCTCAAGTGCGTTATTTCTGTTCCTTGTTTTGCTGATAACACAGTTTTCCTTTCAGTAGCATTTTTTGTGTGGAGGGGGGGGGGGGGGGAAGAGGGGGGGTTGTCGTGTTTCCTCGAGTTTTTCATCATGTCTGATTGGAATTTTCTATGACTTTATTGCTATGAACTCCACACAGAGATAATTAATGTATTATCTTCTCTCATTTGCTTTCAGATTTCATCCCTCAGACATTTATGCTCCCAGCAGACTACAATCTTTTTGTGGAAGAATTCAGGAAGAATCCAAATACCACATGGATCATGAAGCCATGTGGTAAAGGTGAGACTACGGTGGATTGTACTTATAATGATGAGTCTGATTTTGACTGTGACATCATGCTATTTCTGGTGTCTCATTATTCCTTTAAAAGGGAAAATATATATATATATACAATTTGTAAAGTAGAGAACAGATTAGCAAGTAACACCTTGAACATAATTGGTAATATTGTTCACTTTTAAATTGTAGTCAGAAAACATAGTCAGTGGTCATAAGAACCGACAGAAAGTAAGCAAAAGGAGTTGCTTGACATTATATTGAGTTTACATAACACCCAATCTGTGTGTGTGTGTGGGGGGGGGGGGGGGGATCTTATGTGTGTGTGTGTGTGTGTGTGATTTGGGCTAATTATGGTTTATGTATGTGCACGGCTAGGGGAGGTGGACAAAAAAACACATTTATGAGCCCATTTGCTCTGCTTGTCCTAATATTCCCTTTTTATGTCAGTACAGCAGTTTCTGCATAAACTCACTGTGCTTGGGAGGGCTCATAAATATGCTTTGGTACGAAGGGCACATTTACCTATTAGAAGAATGATAAAGGTATGGATCTCTTAACTGATATTATTTATTGGTCCTTATGGGTGTATGTTTTGGGTTTTTGAAGCCTTTACTTTTTAAAGTCATAATGCAGTATAGATCATATTTTCTTGTCCTTTTTTAAAAAGGTTTTAATGGTTTATTTAAATGAACTTGAAGTTTCAAGTCTTCAACTTCAAATATAGATGAAGGCTTAACAGTATTACCTGAATATTTAAGATGCTCTGCATTTTCATAGATTTTAGAATGTTCAAAAGATCATTTTCTTATATGATTGCAGCTAGGGGCATTGGAATCTTCCTGGTAAACAAACTCTCACAACTCAAGAAATGGTCCAGAGATGGAAAAGGCAACTCGTAAGCCCTCAGTAGTGATTTTCTGTGTGTTTAATTCATGAAAACTGTTAAGGTTCCTCTATCATGTATAACAATATTTCATTGATTTTTTCCTTGTATTATGATTTCCTGGATTGAGCTGGCTCATTCTTATGTCTGTTTGGAGTGTGAAAAAATTGATGAAGAAAATTAAAAGTGAAAGCTTGCAAAGATATTGCTTTTAACTTCAACTGAGTGAGACAATAAGATTTTTTTTTTTTTCAATGACAAAGGGTACAGCTGTCTATTGATGGAGTGCCATTCAGCTTTAAGAGTGTCATCATTTCTCCATACTTCTTGTACTGGTCTCTTTCATGATAACCCTTTGAGCCCTGACCTCCTGAGGCTACCATGCACCTCTGCCTGAGCTCCTGAACAATATATTACTAAAATTCATACCATCGCCAGAATCTCATTCCATATCCCTCTCAGTGTAGTCCTTGTCATTACCAGCATCTAATTCAACAAGATCTTCAAAATTCAATAATGACCTGTGTAGTAAGCACTGTTTCCCGTATGCATTTTGTCTCAGGCGGGTGGGGTTGGGGATAGGGTCTTGCTCACCGATGTACCAGTGGCTAGGCATATGGACAGTCTTACGTACCACTGGGGTACCGATGGCTAGGCATAAGGGCAGTTTTACGTGCCACTGGTGTACCAGTGGCTTGGGCTCGAAGGGTTAATGTTGCTGCCAAGAGTCCGGTCTCACAAAGAATATACCTTTAAATAAAAGCACTTGTGACCCTACTGTTTTAAATGACCTATTAATGTTTAATAGGGTACTTGTAGTGCTTTGTTGTGGAAAATAGGTCACAACCTCTAAGTGTGGTGAATCTCTGGCGAGCTGCTCCCAGAGGCTTGGGGTCAGAACCGTTGTGCTGGTGAGCCGCTGGGGCATATTCCTTTACAGCGACTTTGATGTCAAATTACTTTTTGACAATTGCCGAAAACAGGTCTCTAGCTTTGAGTGTATCTTATCCTCAGGGCTGGGGTCCATAACATAAGGAATGTCTTTAGTGTTGACTCTGGCTTCAGACTGCAAGATGACCAGTGAGTACACTGGTTGTTTCATTTATATGGAAAGCTTTTATCTAATATTTTGTGCATATTGTAACCTTTATGGCACCACCTTTTTCTAAAAGAGAAGTTCTTTTTGTTTTTTAGAGCATCGATTTGTTGTTTATGAAGGACTAAGAAGAAATTGTCAGGACAAAAAAAAAAAGATAAGTAAGTATTGTAATGTGTTGTATAATTGTCTATTTTATGTCATGAAAAGCTTCATGGACTAAACTTTTGGTTTTCATACATTTTTTCTAGTTCATAATTTTGTTTTAAATTTAAAGAACAAAACAGTTGTTTTTTTTGTACAGAAAGATTGAAAATAATTACTTTACTTATTGTTTTGCTGCAGAGTGATCAACCATTTCCCAAACCATGTTGAGTTAACCCGCAAAGACTTGATGGTAAAGAACATCAAACGTTATCGCAAAGACCTCGAGAAGGAAGGGAATCCCCTGGCTGAGAAAGATGAATCAGGACGCTTTGCTCACCTTGGTATTTATTAATGTTGATGCTTTTCTTTTTAAGTTTTAAGCTCGAAATTCTATAAGATTTAGAAATACATGTAGATGTGCTCTTTGCTTTTGCTCATCTTTTACAAATTTTGAGAAATGAAAATGAAAAGTCATGTACACTCCTAATAATTTCCCCTATATCAGGGCATGTTATAGATTTCCATTTCGACAAATTTTTTTTTGCAGCTGTATTAATTTTTGTTTGTTTAATCCAGTTTCTAATGTTTTTGATAAGGTTGCTTCACATTCTCTATGTTAATGAAAAATGTAGATATACTTGTTCGATTTGAGGACATTAACCCAAAATTTTCTAGAGCTGCTCAAGTGCGTTATTTCTGTTCCTTGTTTTGCTGATAACACAGTTTTCCTTTCAGTAGCATTTTTTGTGTGGAGGGGGGGGGGGGGGGAAGAGGGGGGGTTGTCGTGTTTCCTCGAGTTTTTCATCATGTCTGATTGGAATTTTCTATGACTTTATTGCTATGAACTCCACACAGAGATAATTAATGTATTATCTTCTCTCATTTGCTTTCAGATTTCATCCCTCAGACATTTATGCTCCCAGCAGACTACAATCTTTTTGTGGAAGAATTCAGGAAGAATCCAAATACCACATGGATCATGAAGCCATGTGGTAAAGGTGAGACTACGGTGGATTGTACTTATAATGATGAGTCTGATTTTGACTGTGACATCATGCTATTTCTGGTGTCTCATTATTCCTTTAAAAGGGAAAATATATATATATATACAATTTGTAAAGTAGAGAACAGATTAGCAAGTAACACCTTGAACATAATTGGTAATATTGTTCACTTTTAAATTGTAGTCAGAAAACATAGTCAGTGGTCATAAGAACCGACAGAAAGTAAGCAAAAGGAGTTGCTTGACATTATATTGAGTTTACATAACACCCAATCTGTGTGTGTGTGTGTGGGGGGGGGGGGGGGGCTTATGTGTGTGTGTGTGTGTGTGTGATTTGGGCTAATTATGGTTTATGTATGTGCACGGCTAGGGGAGGTGGACAAAAAAACACATTTATGAGCCCATTTGCTCTGCTTGTCCTAATATTCCCTTTTTATGTCAGTACAGCAGTTTCTGCATAAACTCACTGTGCTTGGGAGGGCTCATAAATATGCTTTGATACGAAGGGCACATTTACCTATTAGAAGAATGATAAAGGTATGGATCTCTTAACTGATATTATTTATTGGTCCTTATGGGTGTATGTTTTGGGTTTTTGAAGCCTTTACTTTTTAAAGTCATAATGCAGTATAGATCATATTTTCTTGTCCTTTTTTAAAAAGGTTTTAATGGTTTATTTAAATGAACTTGAAGTTTCAAGTCTTCAACTTCAAATATAGATGAAGGCTTAACAGTATTACCTGAATATTTAAGATGCTCTGCATTTTCATAGATTTTAGAATGTTCAAAAGATCATTTTCTTATATGATTACAGCTAGGGGCATTGGAATCTTCCTGGTAAACAAACTCTCACAACTCAAGAAATGGTCCAGAGATGGAAAAGGCAACTCGTAAGCCCTCAGTAGTGATTTTCTGTGTGTTTAATTCATGAAAACTGTTAAGGTTCCTCTATCATGTATAACAATATTTCATTGATTTTTTCCTTGTATTATGATTTCCTGGATTGAGCTGGCTCATTCTTATGTCTGTTTGGAGTGTGAAAAAATTGATGAAGAAAATTAAAAGTGAAAGCTTGCAAAGATATTGCTTTTAACTTCAACTGAGTGAGAGAATAAGATTTTTTTTTTTTTCAATGACAAAGGGTACAGCTGTCTATTGATGGAGTGCCATTCAGCTTTAAGAGTGTCATCATTTCTCCATACTTCTTGTACTGGTCTCTTTCATGATAACCCTTTGAGCCCTGACCTCCTGAGGCTACCATGCACCTCTGCCTGAGCTCCTGAACAATATATTACTAACATTCATACCATCGCCAGAATCTCATTCCATATCCCTCTCAGTGTAGTCCTTGTCATTACCAGCATCTAATTCAACAAGATCTTCAAAATTCAATAATGACCTGTGTAGTAAGCACTGTTTCCCGTGTGCATTTTGTCTCAGGCGGGTGGGGTTGGGGATAGGGTCTTGCTCACCGATGTACCAGTGGCTAGGCATATGGACAGTCTTACGTACCACTGGGGTACCGATGGCTAGGCATAAGGGCAGTTTTACGTGCCACTGGTGTACCAGTGGCTTGGGCTCGAAGGGTTAATGTTGCTGCCAAGAGTCCGGTCTCACAAAGAATATACCTTTAAATAAAAGCACTTGTGACCCTACTGTTTTAAATGACCTATTAATGTTTAATAGGGTACTTGTAGTGCTTTGTTGTGGAAAATAGGTCACAACCTCTAAGTGTGGTGAATCTCTGGCGAGCTGCTCCCAGAGGCTTGGGGTCAGAACCGTTGTGCTGGTGAGCCGCTGGGGCATATTCCTTTACAGCGACTTTGATGTCAAATTACTTTTTGACAATTGCCGAAAACAGGTCTCTTTTACTGGGAGATGTCAAATTACTTTTTGACAATTGCCGAAAACAGGTCTCTTTTACTGGGAGATCTTTCATTTGATGGAGAACTATCGAAATAGGTTCACTGGATAAAGATAAAGATCTCTGAGGGGGGTAAACCCACTACGCCGGGGCCCTTTTTTGGTGCTAAATCTAAAAATGACAAAAACCTCATTAAATGGGTCATTAAATCGAAACTAGCAAACCTATTTTGACAGTTCTTTATCTAATGAATGAACTTCCGGTATAAGAGACCTGTTTTCGGCAATTGCCAAAAGCAATTTAATGTCGAAGTCGTCGTAAAGGAATGTGCCCAAGCCGCTGCCGGTGGCTCTCTGGTACAGTGATTCCGACCGTAAGCTGCTGGGAGCGGCTTGCCAGAGATAAAGAGTTAACTTGTTCGCTATGTATTATTTTGGGCTCGTGGACAAATTTTTTTTCGGGAGAGCAAAATGAGATGATAACTAGTGCACAGTTCAAAGGTCTTTTGGGGCCTCAAATTCAAATAAATATCAACAAATTATTATAATTATACACTGAAATTTTCAGTATGATTTGTAGAATACATCTGTAATGTTTATTTGTGCATTTTTCAACTTTGGTTCCTGTAAGAAGCGAATATGCAACACAATTTTGCTTGGATGCGGACAAAAATTTGAAAATAAAAAAGTAATCACCTTTGGTAAAACTCAAAAAATATGTTTGCTCCTAGTCAAATGATCCATCAAAATAACCATAAATGAATATAAAACTGGAAAATATTGAAAAATTTGCAGTTATTTACGTACATTCCATAAAATTTGTACATTTGGATCCTAACATCCGATTCTGAACAAAAATAATTTTTTTTACAATCTTGGAAAAAGGGCAAGATGCATTCACCACGCCTGTTACCGACCGCCAACTTAGTCAAACCGCCAGCTCACGGCACTCCCCGTAACCCGATACTCTGTGACCCCGGTCACCGGGTCAGCGCCACCGGTTCACTGCCAATGCCCAGTTACGGTTGTTTTCTTATCACACGATGTTTTTTAAGCGTATAAACTGCGGCAGTAAACAAAAACTATTCAGGTGATCTCACAGAAAATCACACGCTCTGAACGATCAATATAGTGTGGGCACGTAGAAGCGATCGTGAAACTACTGGGTACTGTTACAGACTTACAGTTGCCATAAAACTGTATAGTAATTATGCAAAGTTGTTAAGGGGTCAGATGTTTTAAGTAAAAATAGAACATGATTCTATCCTTTGATTTTGACAAAATTAAGGTAGAATGATGAAAACAGGATAAAGAAAACACTCATTTGGTGGCATCATTGTATGCTTCATCTAAGCAAAGATATTGAAGCTTGAATATAGAATCACAGAAAATTAGGGTCCTTGATAAATACTATCACAGTGCACTTACTACTCATTTACACATGTAATACATATATATGTAGGCCTACCCCTGAAACTGGGAAAATTCGTCAGTCCTGGGTCGTTTTCCTGCGTTTGACTGTTTAATTTTCTCCTAACTAAATGAGTATTAAGTTTTTCTTCTTCTTTTGTTAGTGGTCGCGTTGGAGAGATCTCTAGAGACTGAGAGAAGAGCCTGTCGTGGAAAAGTGCTGCTATCTGCCACAAGCTGTGTAGGTTTGGATGGCGTGGATGTACCAATGGGGGGGGGGGGGGACTTGAAGCTCAACCTCACTGTGGCCTATGGTTGATGATGCAGCGCTAGTTTCGAGAGATGCGATGTTTTCGTCCTGTCTTTCTTCAAGCCTAGTATTGTCCTCTGTGTGTGTTTGTGTAGATGGCTCTGCAGTTGAGTTACTTGTTGAGTTTGCTTAGTCTCCAAATGTATGTGGTGAATGTGTTGTCTCTGTAGTTTCCGATGCTTTTGTTGTTTCTAATTCTACTGGAATGTTCTTGCTCCCCATTGATGTGCGATGATAGTGTGCGCATATGGAACAGTCACTAGCACATATATCAGACCGAAAAGCTGTCCACAAATTTGAGTAGGTTTCAGCTGCTTTTCTTGCCTTACTGTAGATCTAGTTCCCGCATACGAATGTGTCCTACTGCTATCGTAACCCCAAATACCAACAAGATATCATGTAGAAAGTCAATGCATTTGTACGCTTTTCTCTTTTGCAATTTCTGTTTTCTTGATAGACTTCTACCACCACATGTTCTACAAAGTTCATGAATATACCGAACATGGGACACTTTACTATGGCACTCCATTATGAATATCAATATTCCCAATACTCCACAGCAAAAGAAAAAGCAGAAGAAATCCAAACAAGGCGAATGAGGATTGGGGTACTTTCACCTCCTAGGTCTACACAAAATCGATCACTATGAATCACACAGAATATGTACAATGTTCTCACTTTCACATGTAACTCAGTACACTTTTCTCAAGAGTAATCAAGAAAAAAAAATTTAATTGTAGGTCCGATTACTGAGAAAAATACCTTCAAATAAAAGTAAATAGATAAAAGTTGCTTTAAAAGTAATGAAGGATGGAGAGCACTTCTCAGCCAGCAGGATTAACACTAGTGAACGTACACCAGAGAACATTATATCGTCTTGTAGGTTTAAAGTAGCCCTTTAAAATGAGACCCCATATTGAGACATCACATCTTTAGATCGGGAGATATTGGGGATAAAAAAAATCGAAAATGACTGGAATCAAGTTTCCTGGGCACGGCCGAGGGGTGGCGGGAGTGCCGCTGCCGTCACGGTACCTTGCCCGGCTGACAGCTGATTTATTACCATCTCTGGGTGGTTGGCGGGAAACACTTGCCCGGTAACTAAACTGGCAGTTTTGGGGCGATTTAGACAGCCGTGTCACAAACAGAAAAAAACACTTGTATCTTATATAGAATTATTAAGAATTGCATTTGGAATAAACCTACACATATCTTGAGTGGAACTTTTTGTGTAATTTTATTTTAAAAATAATGATTTGGGGGAGACAATTTTTTTTGACAATGTAGATCTAGATCTAGCACTGAAAAATATTGATTTCTCAATTACAGAGCAATGGCAATTTGAGTCCAATAGTATAAATATTCAAAAGAAGAGTCCTACATTTCTTTAGTAAGCAAAATGATGTTACGATTTCTTGTGTAAAAGTACTGTAAAGACTGGTGTCTTGGCTATAATTTGGATATCATGATAAAACAATGTCGCATAACCTTCGAAATCGCATTTGAAAACTGAATCGAAACTTCCGATTTTAGGTGGAAACACTTGACCCGGAAGTCAATGTTATATTATGACTTTTATTTTAACATGGATATGTGGATTGGAATAAAATCTTTGCTAGAATTATAGGTCTGTTCTCGAGCCGTCGGGGGCGGCTTGCCGTAGTGAAGTTACTTTAGCCGAGCTGCTGCCCACGGCTCGACGTAGTGAATGAGTTAATGACCCCTTTAGAGACATGATATAAGTCACTTTTAGATTTTATAACAGAAAGGGCCCCAGCATAGTGGGTTTACCCTCTCTGGAGATAAAGAGTTAACCGAGTGAAAATGTGTATACCACATTGAATACTGTACATTTACATTATGACTTGATTAGACTGATATTCACTTCAGGTCTCCATATGTGTCACAATGTGGTGGAATCAGGAGCTCGTCAATTTTTGGTCATATGGGGTTATTGGTATCATCTTAAAGCCTGTTCATTTGCCTTCTTTTTGGTGAAAAAAATATCTGTCTGTGCTGAATAGAAGTCGAAATATTTGCGATTGAAGGAGGTTAAAAAAATTAAAAGAAAATTGCCCATTGGCCAAAAAATGCAGATTTCTTTGATTTCATGAGCGCCTGATTTCCCCACAATGCCTCTCATTTTGTATAATGATTAAATCTAAATTTATCTCCAGACTATTTTCTTAATTTCAGATTCACCCCTCCAACTGCAAAAGAGACGTATGTCATATCAAAATATATTGATAATCCACTGCTTATCGGAGGGAAGAAGTTTGATCTGCGTCTATATGTGCTGGTCACTTCTTTCAGGCCACTGAAAGTCTACATGTAAGGAAAAAATTGCTGCACCAAAGTTTTTTTGCCCTGTTGTGTAGTGGAAATGAATCTTTAAATGTTACCAATTTCCCTCTTGTGATAGGAGAAAAACTTCTTTTTGTGCTACATAAAAGTAAAATACTAATTATTACGAATAAGATTTTATTTTCTTCATAGAAATCTTAAGGAAAAACTTTGTAACATTAAACTCAGTACATCAATTTACCCCAGTACCAATGCTTTCAGAAGAATTAGTCCAAGTTTTATAAGACCTGCAGCAAGAATTAAAAGAAGGCTTTTAATTTTATGGTAAATTTAATTATGATTAGATAAAAATGTTCGTTTGTTATATTAAGTGTAAATAATGACTGATCAGAGACCTGTGTCTTATCCTTGCTTTCCACAGGTACCGCCTTGGGTTTTGTCGTTTCTGCACAGTCAAGTATAATGCCAGTTTAAATGAACTGGACAATATGTTTGTTCATTTGACCAATGTCTCTATACAGAAACAAGGGGTTAGTAACTTTCAGCTTTTTTTTTTCTTTCCAGAGAATAATGAATATTGTAAAAAATTTGCCTTCCCAAAGTCTTTGCAAAGTAGCCTTTTAAAGATTTTATAACAGGCTGCTCTTCATTATTTCAGTCTGGCACTTACATAACGAACACATGCATGGCAAGACATGCAAGTAGCGAACAGATTTTCAGGTCCCAAACTTTTTCTTATGCGTATATTTCGTTTATAATTTACAGCATGCACATAGCGAAATCATACATATTGAAAAGATCAAGATGTTTCACTGATTTCGTTTTGTGCTTGCTAAGTGGTATGGGTTTTTTTGGTGTGTTTTATTGACTTGTTTTGTCCCCTATGGATAAAGGCTGAAGGGCTAGAATCGAGATGGCAGATGGATCAAAATTGTAATTTCCTTTATGGAATGATTTATATTCTCTTCTCCTTTCACTAAATGCAAAAGGACAGGGTTCTGAATTTCTTTTTTGTCTGTGTGTGTGTGTCTAGGATGACTACAATGCAATCCATGGAGGCAAATGGACTGTCCAGAACTTGCGTCTTTTCCTAGAGAGCACAAGGGGCAAAGATGTTTCAGACAAACTTTTCGATGACATCAACTGGCTGACTGTTCATTCTCTGAAAGCCGTGGCTGTAAGTGATTACTGGGGGGTTTTTTTCCTCTAAAAACATTTTGATCATAAGGGGGCAATGACCAATTGTAGGAGAAACGGAAAAATGTAAAAAGTATGTAAGTATACCCAAACAAGAAATAAAATGTGCTGAAACAGATATCGATGGTGAAAGTGGCAAACCGTGTAAGTTTAAAAATATTAACATCGGTTTTTTTGGTTACATTTATCATCATAGAGCCACAAAGAATGTTCTGTTTCAATTTAGGGACAAAATAACAAATGGAAATGCGTGTAATCGTCACATGAGCAACCCGTGTATCCCTACTGAATCTCAATATGGACAGTGCATACGGTGTAAGTCTGTTGAACAATACTCAGCCGTCCGTGCTGGACAAAATGAAACTCCCAAGTCCACAACTTCAGCGTCTAACCTTCATGCCCATATTGTCATGTGTTATGTCTGGAACGAGTCTGAAGGAGTAACACGTTGCGTCTTGCTTGGTAACCTTCCTTTATACAGAATATTTTCTTTAAATGCATAATATTATGAGATGGGTGCATTTATGAAGCTAGGCAGGAAGTCATGGCAACCGTTTTGGGACACTTCAGGATGACACACGACAAAATCATCGAACAAAAGTGTTTAGAAAAAGGTCCTTCGAGCATTGCAATATCGTCCTTTTGAAGCCATCCTTTATGAACTGGAGCTCACAGAAGACTGTACACCTTTGACTTTGCCAAGATGTGGCAAAATCCAAGAAAGAAAAAGGAGTTGTGGTGAAACTGAAAATACTAAACAACTAAACGCAGGCTGTCTAAAGATTAAAAGACGAAATACTACCATTTACATTCCTTGAAGCATGTTGTTCTGTTTAATTCGCTTGAATTTTATGATGTTTTACTGTATTGAAAGGGTAGCATTTAGTCAATACCAACTTTATATGTGATCTTTTTATTTGTGAAGCGTTAAATATTCCGACTTTTGTTAAAAAAATTGTTTTTAAATTCTGATCCTTTAGTAAACAGGCTTCCAACCCTGCCAGTCTGGACTAACGTGGGCTGAGAGTGATACAACGTTCCAACATAAAGACCGAGATACTTGATAAAGATTTCAGAACTCACGTGACAGGGGTGTCCGAAATAAAATTATAGCTTATTCACTTTCGTGTAACCGCAGTTAAAACAGGATAGAAAACAAATTGCTCTGTTTAATTAATCTTTCTGGGTCTTTGCATGCGGTCTAAAAGTGGAGGGACCAACATAATCTAAAAGCCCTTTCTTAAAAGTCACTGCAAACTAAGATTCCGATACGTTTTCTTTGATGTAAGCTTAAAGGGGATTAAAAAAAATAATAGGGGATTTACAGCAGAAACCTAAAACATTTAAAACTTGACATATTTTCCTCAACACCACACTACGCTCGCCTAAGAAACACGATTTAAGAGACGGGATGAGTAATTTTCGATACTCACGTGGAATACGTGGAGACGTCAAGACAACTGGGGGATGATGTCTATGAGCTTACAATGAAATGTGGGGGTTGGGTGGTGTCGTTGTCTCAAAGTGAGCAATTTTTAGGCAAGATTACTGTATGTTATTTATTTCAGTGATCTTGTGTATGCATCCAAAGAGCGGTTTTTTATGTAAGGCCCAAACAGAAAAACTTTTTTATCACTGGATCAAGATTTTTAAAGAATAATTTTTGTTTGATTGCTGGCCCCCAGACGTGCCATGCAAAGTTTCATGGGTAAATTCCTGAAAGAGCAAGGATTTTTTAACGCGGTCAGATGAAGGTGAACAAGCTATAACAGACTGTTGGTCTTGTTCAATGTATACTGTGTTGTTGTCGGCCAGGGGAGTAAAATGCCATTGTAAAGCACAATGATGAGTGTGGTTACACTGTAGTCTATATCAATGCTTTATAAGTAGCCTACCTTTTTTCTTTGCTGTGTGACTCAAAACATGCAGGGGGTCACTATTGGGGGGCACAACATCAATAACCTGAGATATTCAAATGATACAGTTCTGCCTGCAAGCACAAACGAATATCTTTCTAAAATTGTGAAAGTAGTGAAAGTGAACAGCAGCAAGGCAGGCGTCAACATGAACACCAAGAAAACAAAAACAATATCAAAATGTTCTGAAAAAACAACAGACATAACCATAGATGGGGAGAGAATTGAACAAGTGCACCAATTCAAGTATCTAGGGGCAACAATTACAGGAGTGAAAAAAAAATAATCATAAGAACAACAGCTGAAAAAACAAGATTCAGCCAAATGTACAAACTACAGTCAAACCTGCCCTGACGGCCACCTCTATAAGACGGCCATCTGTACAAACAGCCACTTTCCATTTCCCCCTTGCGTTTTTTCTATATAATTTAACTGTGTAAAACGGGCACCTGTCCAACGCGGCCACGGCCACCATATTTTAACACACAACCCCTCTCACACTAAGCAATTATACCTGTCTTAGATGGCCACCTAAGTGACTCAATTACATTTTGTCATAAATTGTGCATTGGCTCCTGGCGTTGTGGGTGAGCCGTCATAATTCAATCACTTGTCGTTGTTGTTAGGTTGTCCCTCCAACCGATCATGTTGCGTAGGCCCCTCCCACTGTTGACCAATAGGTACCAATTTTCAGCTGCTGGTGAGGTTAGCGTGAGATCCCTCATTCCCATAAGCCCCGCCCAGAACTCACATACAAATCGTAAGTGAAATGAGTGGTCACTGTTTACCCAATCTGTAACAAAGGACGTCAACATGAACTTGTGACAGAAGCGTCGCTCGTTCTCCAAGTGGTGGCGACTCATGTGTTTGTTTTAACATGGCACTCGGTCTTCCTCGTCTGATACATTTCGTTTTATTGTCACTCTGGCACTAAATCAGCAACAAAATAAAAATTACAAACGAAATACAAACCAACAACAACAACAAAAACAACAACAACAATGAGGCTACTGAAAACTTTCGATTGAGACCTCAGATGGGAATGGTTTGTTTTCTTCATCTTGATCAGTCCTGCCTAAGACGGCCACCTGTCTTATACGGCCACTTTTTTCCTTGACAATGGGTGGCCGTCTTACACAGGTTTGACTGTATTTAAATCCAGGCAACCATCTCTCACTTAAAGAAAGAAAAGGCTGGAATGCTACATATTCCCCGTATTCCAATATGGCACAGAGACCTGGACTTTGACAAGGAAGGAAGAAAACAAAATAAATGCGTTTGAGATGTGGTGCTACGTAGAATGGCCAGAATAAGTTGGAAAACAAAAAGATTAACAAAGAGGTGTGTCTGATTCTGCACACAAAACAGACTCTGCTGAGCCAAGTAAAATGTAGAAAAATACAATACTATGGTTATTTAAAAAGGCATGAGACCATTGTGAAAGAGGTGCTTGAAGGAAAGATATGAGGCAGGAGGGCCGGAGGCAGGCTAAGAATAACATGGACGGACAGCTTATACATGGACTGGACTGGATATGGCAGAATGTGCAATGGCAGCTCGTGACTGTGAAAGATGGAGGGTCATTACATGCGAACCTCTGAGTCAGAGATGACACCTCCAGGTATCCAGGTGTGACTCCAAAGTAAGACCAGATGTCAAAGATTCAAACCGTTGACCTCCATCACTCGAGGAGAGTGACTAGACACTAAACCCCCATAACGTAGGTCCATCCTCTCCCAAAATACAAAACTATTTCTTACATTTCTGCATTGGCTGTTGACAAAATCCCGGAAAAATCAGGGGAAATTATTCACTTAATTAACATTTAAACATTTACATAGGCGCAACTCATGTAACTTTCAATTTTTCATAAGAGAAAGACTTAGTTAAACAGTGTGTCTCCCTAACTGTGTATGTTACTGTTGATTCTGAGACCGCAAAACGTGTAAGTCTGATTTTAAAGACTGTAAACTAAATTTAGCCTTTAAAATTACATAATTATTCAAAGGTAACATACTTTTATTGTTAGAATCGAAAATACAATAATTCGTTGGTAAAAATAACATTCATAGGTCTACAGTTTTTTGTGTTTATCTCTAAAGTAGTGTTTCAGGACTTAAACAGTTTCCGACTTTCACTTTCGATATATGTAATTCTAATAAAAAGTTGAAATAAGTATTGGGATGAGACTGTTTTGAGCTACATAAAGAAAAAGTTTTCCCCAGAGATTATCACTTTGTTACCCAAGCCATTAATGTGTGTACCTTGTTTGCCTTTCTTATCGTGCCTTTTTGTTGTACATCTTTTTTATGGTCCAATCATACTCATTAGTGTCAACAGTCATGATTCGCAAAATGGAAAATATCTGAATTTAAGATAATACATTGGGAACTATAGTCGAGCACTGTTAACTTAAGGACATAGGGGATTGAGAAATGTGTTTGATACATCGATAATTTAGGCTTACTGATCTAAAAATTAAAAGATATTAGTCTGGGAAGAGCAAATTGTACGAGCTATCCGTAATTTAGAATTTTCTGTTTTGTTATTTTGTGTAGAGCTGAACCTGTTTAAGGGATATTGACTGGAGTGGAACAGTTTCAACCTTCAATAAAATAAAACGGAAGCCATTATCCCCTTCATTGCCTCTCTGACCATGTATCGCAAAACTGCTCTTTTTGTGAGCTTTTTTTCACCCATAAATGTGGTGAATTTATAATTTCATTGAAATAATATGGAGTTCCCATTGTCCCCTTTTTTTTCAGGGTGTTATATCTAATGACCGGCATTGCTTTGAGTGTTATGGGTAAGTAGAACAAAGCAAAAATGCTAAAAAAGAAAATATAAGAACTGTCATGATGTAGGTGGTGAGCTTTCTTGTTCTGAAGCAGGAGGCAGGAGTGAGAGAGTGGGAGAAAGCGAGAGAGAGAGAGAGAGAGAGAGAGAGAGAGAGAGAGAAAGAGAGAAAGAGAGAGATAGAGTGCGTAATGTGCATACAATAATGTGTACGTCCCGTTAATTTGTGTGAACGACCTGTGTCTTTGTGTGTTCTATCTTTGTTTCTTTGGCGCGTGTTCTGACTATCAAACAGCCAGGCAGGGTTATGTTCGGTTAGACCCTGGTAAGACCCGCCCTGCAGAATGTCAGGGAAATAATTATTGCTCGCAGGATTCTAGCAGGGCGCGTGGTCACAACTTTCACCGGGCTGGTGGTAGTGATAACGTGAGAACCTGATTGGG